TTTTTTTGTTAATTTGAGGCCTCTTTAGACATTAAATGGACAGTCTTGTAAATACAAAATCAAAAGGTTTAGAAAGCATTTAATTTGTGCATCATGTACGATTTTCAACATTTATGAATTACATATAATTTTATATTATAATTTAAAACGCATGTGAGTTTATTTTTAAACTTCAATAGTTTTTTTCTGAGAATTTCACTCAAAGAAGCATCGCGAACAGAGATTATTGTAAGCAGTTTTGATTAAGTATACAAAACATTTAATTTAACCTGTTGCTTCAAGAGATGCGCACTTTAGATCATACAATACCTACCTTACGTCCGCTCCAAAAGAGCACTAATTGGATCAGAATTACTGCCCTATGAAAACTTTTTTAAACTATTTTTTCGTTTTAAACAAAACCAAAGACACTATGCAATAGATAATAGTATCAAAGACAAAGATATGCTCTTTTATTTTAAACCATAACCTGGCAATGTTTCTTAGAAAAAAAAAAAAGAAATCACTCTGAACTTTCGGCGTTCCACGTGTCGCTTTGATGAAGGTGCTCCGTCTTTTTTTATAGAATTTTATATTTGTGTCTGGACTAAAAACGAAAGTATTATACTTTTTTATATTCCTTGTAATATAGTAAACACGTAGATATATAATTTGTGGTATAAAAAGTGAAAAGTAAATTGCCAAAAGTACTTCAAAATCCGGAAGGCCCATTTTGGCGGTTGGGTCATAAATGTGTTATTTTTCAAATTCTCATTTATTTTTAGTGTAAAATGTAAGTAAAAATAGTTTTCTTACATATTTCAAATAACTTGACGTTGTATTTATTTCAAATTCACACAAAACTATTTTTGAAATATTGTTCGAAATGTCATACATATAAAATATTATTATTTTCTTTTTAATTTTTTAATATTTTAATATTTTGGTAACGAATAGAAACACATAAAACATAAAAATATACATATTTCAAATTATTTTCATATAAATTTCTCCAAAAACAAAAGTGTAGAATTCAAATTAGTAGTAATTTTGTCACTAAAATTGAAGTATATACTACTACTATGCTATAATGGTATGGGTAATTTATGTATTTTATTACAATTTCTAGCAACCAAAAATAATTTTATTCGATAGTTTATACATTCAACAAGAATTCCTGTAAGTTTTATCCATAAATATTGTCTCACAGTGAAAATATAGCAAAATTTGCAATATAGCAAAAAATTTTCTAACTTACAAATTTTCCCGCCATTAAGGTCCCGAGGGAACGGGAGTATAACATATCGCGCGCTGTCAGAGCGTAAAGAGAGTAAAGTAACGGACCTCTTACGACATCGGGGGAAATTGAAACCGATGATGGGCATCAGCAGCTTCCTGATAACAACTCAAAATAATAAAAAACTGCGGTTGACAACCCGCTCGCCAAGCGTGGCAACTATGGCGAAATCCCCCCTACGAGGCAACCTATGGGGGGCGGGCCTATGTTCAGCAGTGGACTTTTATAGGCTGTGATGATGATGAAAACAATATTAAATGACTATAAAATTTCTATTACAGGGTTTCTCTATCCGCCTCTTAACTCATGACGACAAGGGTCCACCTGGAGAATTGACGTGTACGAAAAAAAAAGTTTTTCCCAGATAGTTTATTTACGATATTTCCCCTTCACCATTAAACGAGGTGGTAGGACTTTTTTCTGCCTAAAAGTCCGTCTGGGTACTTTTACCCACCCGCTAAGCAGCAGTCCGGTCTGAATGTATATACTGAGCGTTATGAGCCAGTATAATTCTAGGGTTTGAGGCATTCCATAGTAGTTGTCAGAAAAAATTTTTTGCAGATTGCCTTGCCTAGTCACTTAAGTTTTATAAAAAAAAAACACGTACAATCAGCACATAAAATTTTCGTGGTAACCGCAGGGAGTCCGTAAGGCTGCTCGTTTTGGCGAGCGTCGAGCTCAGAACAAGATGCCTCTGATCTTTATAAATTACAAAAAAAATCTAAATTAAATTCTGTAAAAGTGTAGACTTTTCTTCTTTTTTAGTCTTTTTATCTTCTGTCGGATATTGGTCTTTCCAAGAAAGGACCATGTGTTCCATTTCTTAATAAGGAGATTTGTCTGGTACTAACTCATTGGACTGTCGTATTGGAGGCGTCGTATTGGGCTGTCGTAGGGTTGATCCTCTAACACTAGTAATATGAAACCTAATATTTGAATTCTGTATTTTTGAAAATGAGGCAATCCTATCTTAGTCCTCAAGCCTGACAATGCATCGGCATTTTGATTCTAAATCGAGAATGTATGTAGATGCCTATGGGCCACAGCATCCACTTACCATCAGGTGGATTGTCTTCTCTTTTGTCGTTTTTATTCTATATAAAAATACTGGTTGACCCTGCAGGCCATCCCTGGAACTTCCCGCTAATTTCAAATGCAAAGCGCTCCAAATTTCACCAAATTATGACGTTGAATATGAAATATCGGAGTAATTTAAAAAATAAATTTTTTCAAAATTTTTCGTTAACGATATCTCACGAACAAATCAACCGATTTTGATCGGACCAGCGGCGAGTGACGTGGTTTTTCAAGGTAAGAAGCTGATTAGTTTTTCTAATCGATCGGTAAAGCCGTTTAAAAGTTATTCCACAATAACAGTTTTTCAAAATTTTTATTTTTGAGATTTTTCAAAATCTGCCGGACCGAATTAGTTAAAATTCTTAGGAAATCTAAGTTTGATGAAACACTTTCAAATCCGCTTAGATCATTTCAATCGGTCAAGTCGTTCAAAAGTTATAAGAGGTTTACATACTTCCACACACATATACATATACATACATACAGACGTCCAGACACCATTAAAAAATTGTCAAGGTGGCTTCCTGTGACCTCAAAACGTCAATATTTGATGAAAACTCAATTTTCGAAAAACGGGGTGAAAACAATAACTTCCCGATTATTGAAAATTTTCAATTTTCTTAGCGGGAAGTTAAAAAAATGATCGCCTGAGTTTATTATGTCCGTCAGCAAGGTGCTGCACTTGCGGATGAGGTTGGTAGTCAAAGAAAAATATTCCTTTAATAACGTGTGTAGAATATATCTATTTTTTAAGGTTCCGTATGGAACCTTTATAGTATCACTGTGTGGTCCGTCTGTCAAGAACATTTTTTTTCAATAATGGGTACAGGTATCAAGTTGAAATTAATATCAAATACTAAGGTCAATGGTCTTTGGAGGTGTAAAAAGTTCTAGTTTCAAAGTCAACGCAATTAAGAAATACATATCTTGATTCTTTTAGATTTATGTCACATATTTTGATACTCGCAAACTCATCAAAATCTATAGGGTACTATTTGACCCCGTTGACCTAAAATCAATAAATTTAGCAAGTAGCATGATCGATTCTTTAGATATATGAAATACCTATATATTTCAACTACGTCAAAGGAATTCGCAGTTTAAATATAACTATTTAAACATTTTATAATTAACAGTTCTATAATAAACGTTATACGCCTATTTCCTCAACCTTGCAGTCATTACGTAAATTGGCATTTATGCTTGTATTTTCCGCTTTCAAACACGCAATTTTATCGTCACAAGCTATGCTATGTGATTGCTATGCTTTTGTATGGGAATTTCGAACTATTAGTCTTCAAAGTAGCTCAGATTGAGTAATTGTATAAATTAATAGATAAAAAAATAAAGAATTGCAAGTATATGCAAATTAACTAGATAGAACAGGGTGTAAATATACTGTTACGAGCTTGAGGTTCGTGACAATAAAAATTGCCGATAGGATTACCTAAATTAACACTTTAATTTTCTTTACACAAATTAAAACTTAAAACACCAATAATTAAGCACACTAATTCACTTTATTCCGCTCCGAAGCTTCGCTTGTCTCGCCAAATTCAATACTTCCCCGATCGCACCTTGCAGCGCCTATAAATACACATAGTACCGAATCATCCAGAACATTCAAGTAAATACGCGCACCAATCGACAAAGCGCCGAAAGTTCGAGAGTCAGCTTCCAGAAGCTTAGTTCTTCATTTCGACAACAGATGGCGCTGTCGGTTGAAAGATTAGTGATGTCATTTTCTGGAAAGCTCTCCCCCTCGCTCCGTTACCCGACACTAGATGGCGCTAGTGCCAGATGTCAACTTAGCCGCGCAACAATACCTTATACGTACCCTAAAAAGTACGCCATACTTATTATCAACTTTTTATGGGATTCTACTCGTTGATCGGCTATCTGGATACAATGGTATTATGTGATTTAAAATGAGTAATAACAAAGTAAAAACAGAATTTACTATAGTAATAATCTATGGGTACGTAATATATAATTCTTGTGCGTATTTTAAATCATTATCATCAACACCATTACAGCCGGTCACACTTCCACTTCTGAACAAAGACCTCTTCTAAGGATTGCCACAAATCTCGGTCCTAAGCCACTTTTATCCATCAATTCACTCCATGGCTTACCAGTTAGTTACTGGAGTCGTACGAAGCTACCACTCGAGAATCTTTCTCCCCATCGGTTATTCGAGCTATATTGCCGGCCTATTGTCACTTCAGCTTACTGATCCGTTGGGCTTTGTCAGCTACTCCATTGCTGCGGGATATTTCATTGAGTTTTTTTTAAACTCCGAGCTCAAAGCAGGCCAGCAGTGAAGGACGACTACTAACAAAATAAATAGCCTCATTCTAACATTTTTTCCATATTTGGTGTAGATAGATAGATAGATAACTCTTTATTGCATTTAAACATAAATTTGTTACAATGACGGAAAACTTATGAACTACAAACGGTGGTTATATCGTTTTAAACGGTTTCTGCCTGACAAACCGAACGTAAAAGGACATTGTAATTTTATATTTTGACGGATACACAGAAATCTAAATATAAATATTATTTAGATTTCTGATTAAACTGATAAACATTTTATTTTATAATAGTTCTTATTTAATAATTTGTCTATGTCTTGTTTGCACAGGTGTGCTGGGCGATGTCACGAACGAATTCAAAATCGGCGATGATAGCGCTGGATTCCTGCAGACTGTGTTCGTGGTGGCCTACATGGTGTTTGCGCCGATGTTCGGATATCTCGGCGATCGGTATTCAAGGCGGATGATAATGGCGTTAGGAGTCGCACTATGGAGTATTACAACCTTCGCTGGTTCTTTTATATCGGTATGATTTTGTTTCTTTTTTTTTTGTTATCCGTATTAACAACAATAGAACACTAGAATTTTCTTTTGTAACGTAAAAAGTAGTTGTGGGTCCTAGACCAAACATTTGTACCGTGCGGTATTCAAATCCGCGGCCCTGCAGCCCGCAGCTTAGCGTATAGCAACTGCGCTACCAGGCTGAGTCGATTAAATGCCAAAAAATCTTGTGGCATCCAGCAAAACATCGAAATAATTTCAAAAAAAAATTAAGCGATAGAAAAGGTATATTATGTGACATGTTACTGCATAGGATAATGATCATGTTACGCCATTGTTTCTATTTCGTTTGAATTTTACGATTTTATAATTATGTAAATAGTGATATTACAACCGGATAGCTTTTGTGCGTGTCTCATTCCCAGCTTCTTAATATTTTCGACGTCTTAAATCAGCCATAGATGAAACACAAGCACATCCGACGGTATAACAATTTTGTTTTAAGTACGTTGAACTTAGAAGCGTGGATAATACCGCTTTAAAATTTTCAAACTTTAGATATGTTAGAGCGCTAGATTTTTGACTAGTTTAAATAACAAGAAATAATCACGTATATTATGTAAAAATTAAGTCTGTTGTAAAAGAAAAAACCATAACTAACAAAACTTTATTTATTGCTAGTGATATTACGAGGTTAAATGTCTGTAATTTTACTTTTGTTACGGTTGAAAGTATTTACTTTTTTTCATTAATTACAGTAACAGACCCCTGCTTAACATAGGCCTCATCTATAGCTTGCTTCATAGATACCTCTTTGTTAGTTGTCATTTCAACCTTGTTTACTAACTATAAAAATGTAAAATAGGAGGCCCGGATGCCGCTAAAAACGAAGTAAACAATCTAAGAAAAATGTTTTATCGTAGACTTAATCTTGTATAATATTATGTTTATGTACGAGTTATAATTTGAACAAACTTTATTAAAATATTTTGTTTACTTAAGAGTATTTTTCTTCTTAATCGTGTTGGTTAATTTTTATTTTTTTTTTCTCAGACTCCAATTATTTTCGAAACGCTATAAATTTTTGTAAAAAATATGATTTAAAAATTATTTCGTAAAAATCAGTATGTATGGAAGTTTTATACTTTTTAAACTTAACAGATTTTATCTTCAACTTGCTGGCCCGGCAGACGTTTTTCTGCCCTTTCTAGGTTTCTAGTTGGTGGCGCGATGAGTTTAATTTTCGCATACACTTCTATAGATTTATTAAACATATAGCTAGATTCTCTTTAAGACTAATAGAACCATCAGCAGACATAAAGACGACAATAAACTTAAAAAAAAAAAGAGGAAAAACATAACCCTTTTTTACTCTTCCGTAAGCGGATAAGAAGTTGCCTATAGGTTATACACGATCATTTATTGCCTATATACAAAATTTCATGGAAATTCGTCCACTACTTTTTGCGTGAGTCGTGAACACACAATTTTTATAAAGATCTTATACCATTCAATAAGTCAATAAGGTTGAATGGTCTAAGATCTTTATAAATAACTAAAAATAAAAAAATACAGATTTATTATATGTATAGATTAATTATTACATATCAATATTGAACCTATCAAACTTATACGTTCAGGTAACTATTTCATTGAAATATTACTACGCTGTAGAATAGTTAGAATAATAATAGTAAAACTGTGTTTTCCAACAGAACTTCGCGCTGTTCGCGTTCTTTCGAGGGCTGGTGGGTATCGGCGAAGCTTCCTATTCAACCATCGCTCCAACCATTATCAGCGACCTCTTCGTCGGGAACGTGCGCTCTAAGATGCTGGCATTCTTTTATTTTGCCATTCCCGTTGGAAGGTAATTTTATTTTTGATAGTTTATTATTTAGATTTCTGTGGTTTATACGTAGGTCTGATTTGTTTTTTAGATTTTTTTGTGTCAACAATCTAGAAAATAATTAAGTATATATATATTATTATTATCTTCGATCTTCTTTACAATTTGCCGTAGGTGGTCTATGGTGCTAAAGCCTTTTCAGAAACCGTCTTTTTCGGGAGACTAGAAGTCGTCAAGTCTACGTGCGAGACCCGATATCGATAACTAAGCTTACCGTTCCCTTATGTGCCTAGTTTTGCGTTGAAGTCTTTAATGAGCACCGTATTGTGGGTTTTGGAGGAATGCATGGTTTTAAAGATGTCCTCATACATTTCCTCCACCTCCTCATCGCGATGTACCGAGCTTGGTGCTTAAACCGGTATGATATTCAACGAATATTGTTGGGTGATTCTGAGTATAAGGTACGCAACCCTTGTCGACACACTCCCAATCTTTAAAACGTTGTAAGCGAGGGACTTGTAGATGATATATCCGACACCTCCTTGGAAAAGATGATCGCCCTCCCGGTGATAGAACAAGTTTCCAGCTCAACTTGTCTATCTCTTCTTCCAGCTTCAGGATCTTATCGGCAGTCCTCAGGGTGCGTGCGTTGTATGTTGCCAGGTCAAGTCGTCTTAGGTGGCAACTGAACCTTCACCGGATATTTAAAAATCAAATGCTAAGGCACCTCCTGCCCCGCCGTTACCATGGTCGCCACCATAGCCAGGAATAGCGAGGCCGTCGGGGACCGGAAACTTTGCATCGTTATTCGTTAACCATGCTCGTCAAAGTTGCCACGCTTGCCAAGCGGATTGGCAACCGCAGTTTTTTTATTGGAATTTCGCTGATATCACAAAGATGATGCTGCCCATCTTCAGCCACAGTTTCCCACTGTGGACTTACGACACTTACGACAGATAGATAAGTTCTTATACAAAGAAAATATTCTAACAAGTGAAAGATTTTGAATTACTTTAGAAAAAAAAAAAATACCACGTTTTTTATCACATTCTTGAATTGTCACCTGAATTTGATCTATATTCAAATTTTCAAGTTTCCAGCTCATCGAAAGTTAGTTTAAAATAAATTACTAAGTTCCACCCGGAACGACATAATAAAAACCGGAGATTAAACATGTTAAAAACTAATAATTGTGGATATTCTATATCGACAATGTTATTGGTGCGATTCTATTCGTTTTAAGTACAGTACTGAACGTTATGCATTTCTATAACTTGCATCGTAGTTAAAGGAATATACAATTGGGTCCATTTTCACTTGTAATGTTTTTGGTGAGATGTTTTTTTTAAACATTTAGCGCGAGATAAGAAATTTTAAGGCAAACGATATAGGTATTGTATTTAAAGTTTCGTTATAGATTAACGAAAAAATCTGAAATCTTCGAAGATTAGTTCATAATCATCAGTTAATATTAGCACACTGCAGTCGGTGTGATTCATCAACTAACTTTAATTCCCATGGAATTTTACGTACGTCTTAGCTAAATAATGTTAAGGTTACATCTTACTCCATCAATGTTAGGTTCTGTGTGTTGTGTTTTGGTCTGAAGGGTATAGAGCCAGCTTGATTCCAGGCTGTATGGCATCTCAACTTAGCCCTCAGACGTGACAACGCACCTGTAGCGTTCCTTGTTTGAAGTAGGCTCCAGGTGTCCCACGTAACGCAGTAGCCACTTACCATCAGGTGGACTAGACGTTCTTTCGTCAGTTCAGTTTTATACAAAAACAACCAACAAAGACCTTATTTTAAATTTCTATACATCTATTCTCATATCATGTAGCCTCTTACACACATTTTATTGTAATCCAAATTAATAAAATATACGCATTACTGAAACTATTTAATATTTGGAATATATAAGGCGAACCTATGTCACGAATCTAAGTGACATGAAATAGTGATACTGTAAACCAATTTAATGTTTGCGGAGATAAATTAGATACTGACGTCAGTTATGCGATGTGAGTCAATGGTAGTTTTTACTTTTTAGTGTGATGATTAATAACAAATCGGAAACTGTATTATTAATGAAAACGTTTGAAAAGATAGTTTTCCCTTGAACAAAATACTCTAAAAGAATAGTAGATTTATTATTTTTATATTTGATTAGACCCTTTTTTACTGGAAACGAGGCATTCACTCTTGGTCCTCAGGGATGACAACGCATCTGCGTTTTGATTCTTAATCGAGGATACATGTATATGTCCATGAACCACAGCAACCTCTTACTATCAGGTGAACTGTGTGCTCGTTTGTCACCTTTATTATAATAAAAAAATGTAATATTTCAAATAAATCATAATTTATTCATTACAACCAAAATACTGCTTTTTATTTTTGTCTTAATATATAATATTATGTTTTATTTTATTATTTGTTACACGCAAATTTTCATAAAACTTATATTTTAATAGATTAAAATATAAGTTTTATGAAAATTTGCGTAAATAATAAAGATTAACACCGGAGAAGTAAATGACGAGATTCCTTCACATTTATGATTAAAACTACTTTTACGGATTTTATCGCGTTTATTTTTACTTTTTATTTTTAATTCCCGACGTTTCGGGCGCTTTCCAGCACCCATGGTCACGGGGGACTGAGATGACTGACGTCCCGACGTCATTGTTAAACCCGGAGTACCTTCAGCTTTTTTAATTATTGTCCTTCACATTTATGTGCGGTAGAATTATAAACACGAAAGGGTTGAACGGTACCCGGCTTGTCTAGACTGAAATACTGTGCGTTGCACGTATGCTATATCTTTTAACTAGCAGTAGAATGCATTGCAGCTTGGCAGCATAAAAGTTTAAGTGGGTGGTACATACTCAGGACCCTGTCACATATATAATAATGTTAACCGCTGTGCTGAAAAAAGAGTTGTCCCACTTAGTAAAGTAGGCAGTATCTAGTAATGTAGGATATCTGCGTATTGCAATCGTTATACACGTTAAATTTATATTACAGCGGTTTCGGGTACATAGTTGGGTCAGTGGCGGGGGCCGCCGCTGGCAACTGGCGATGGGGGCTCCGCGTGACCCCTTTCCTGGGCGCGGTGGCTGTAGTACTCATAGCATGGGTGATGCAGGACCCTGAACGTGGTCAGGCTGAGGAAAGCACTATGAAACCCACGTCCTATGCGGAAGACCTTCGGGCACTCGTTAAAAAGTAAGTACAACGATACTTTTAAATTAGAGTAATTTAAAACTTATTTATAATTATTAATCATTACTCGTCATTTTTAGCCGACATCAAAAAAAAAAAAAAAAGAGGCTTTTAATAAAAAAAGAGGGGCTTACAATTCGATTGTATGTTTTTTTTCTTTATCTTTTTTGTTTGTAAATATATTATGTTCGTTACATTAAAACTTAGTCATTTGTAAATCGGTTTTGGTGATTCTTATTTTCTTAAATAGGTATTTCTATATAGATATAATTCAGGTGGTCCCATATGATTTTGGGGAAAATATTCCATCCCTAAGAGTGGCAAAATAGGAAATAAGTTTTTAATCGAACTCTACTCAACGTCGTCTATATAGACGACGTATAGATTGAGATGTTCCTTTGTCCACTCAAAGTATAAAGAACAATTTTTAATAAAAAGATGAAGCTGGCGTCAAAGATGTAAAAAGAATAAAATAATTTCACATTCTGAAATCGGAATTCAGACTGGGAAATTATTTTATTTTATTAAATGAATTTATATTTTGTATGTCACTAACAGCGTTGCAAATGACTAACACGGCTTAAAAATATTATTATTTGGGTTAGTAATTACTATATCTTATATGTGTTGATTTTGTGTAAGTAATAGGGTTGAATAAAGCTGTTAATTTGCGCTTCCTTTAGAAATAGTTCTAAAAGGCAAAGTGGTTTGTATATTTTTCAAAATGCGTTATTGAATGCGTTATATATATATATATATATATATATATATATATATATATATATATATATATATATATATATATATTTGTTGCTGAGATAGAATTTAGGACACAATTATTAAAATGATATGTTAAAAAACACATAGTATTCTACAAATATCAATACTTAAAAATTTGTTATCAATTCATTAATAGTTTAAGCTTAACCCGATAATCAACCATTAATCTCGTTATATATAGAATATTAAAATTTCTGGAATAATTTTTAAGCCTAAATGTAACGTAAATTCGAGCAAGGTATTTTACACCATGTAAAAATAATCAAAAAATATATATTTCTTTATTTATTATAAATTTTATATTTCAATATTAAGAACATTTTTTTGGGTGTGCCTCAAATCTGCAAAACGCTGTCCGCCATATTAGAACTGTCGTGACGTCACTGATCCCCTCCTAAGGGTATTAGTCAGGGGGGTACACTTCCATACTTTAGGTTGGGGTTTAATAATTTGCAAAGACACTAGTGCCGTCTTGTACGATATCCGCATAAACTTTCGAACATTAAATTCTTCTTTAAACACGTCTTTAATTGAACCCTAATCCCTTGAATATAAATATAACCGCCTATAGTATAGATAGCTGTACATACGTAACTACATACAGCTATCTATAGTCAACATGATATTGAGATTAGTTCAAGGGATATGATACCAGACGGCGACACTATTCATATTGGGTGACAAAAAATCCTAGGAGATGGCTCTCTATTTCTGTATATATTACTCTACGGTATTAGTGTTCTGTGTCACTGATTAAGAGAACTAGCTAACGTTCTGTTATTTCGATTATTGAGTTTCATTCCGATTCCGATTTTTATTGAAAAGGCATCATGGAAGACGAATTCGTAAAAGGATAAAGTACTAATCCACCAAGGATAAATAAATTGATTCTTCTTGCCAGTTTTAACTAAGTATTTCTTATATTTAAATCATTGGCACTTGAGTCCATAACTTTCCCGGCGTTCTGATGCTCGTATTTTTGCATTCAGACAAAACATAACAATGATATAAATGGAAACTCATTATTAAACATTAAAAAGTATCTTATTCCTTTGCAAAGTCGACAAAAAACATGGTCAATGACGTCACGAGTTGAACAGCATGGCGGTTAGTATTTTCACGCGAAAATTTAAAACGATAGATTGAAATTAATGGTTATGGCCCTATTCAGTTTTAAAAAAATTATGTAAAAATTATACTGGTTCAAAAAAAAAAGGTGTAATATCGTATTATAGACAATAGAGTTTTTCTATTAGCCCGCATCGCAAACAGCAGTGATGGCCGCCTTTTAAATTAATTGAATACTAAGTGGCGTGATAAAATCGAACGCCAATTAACTGGCATTAGACAATTAGTGGCAATTCTGTACGTAGTAAAGCCACGCTGCAGCTTTATTATGGTTTTAGCACGAATGCGTCGGCTGTACCGGGGTAGGACCATGTTCTCAAAGAATACCAGCGTAAAATTGTAGCTTAAGGCTGCTTTGTGAACTAAAATGGAATGCCTTTCAGTAAAGATCCTCGTACGAGTGAGTGTAGAGGAGCCGGAGATCCTTTTTTACTGAAATCGAGGCATTCCATTTTAGTTCTCAGGGGTGACAACACATCTGCATTTTGATTCTTAATCGAGGATAAATATCTTTGGACCACAGTGTTCACGTTTTTTTTATATATTTAAGCTGTTATCAGAAAGATGCTACGGCCCATCTCCTGTTTCAGTTTTCCTCTGGCGCCTCTTACGATCATATGCTTAAAGGCCTTTATTCACTCATTAGTTTCGCTGTTTGGAAAAATGTAATTTTCTTTCAATCCGGAAACACATACTTAAGCATATATTAGATGCATGCAAATCTGAAAGATAAATTATTTTTATTAATTTTTTATTTTTAAATTAAGTTACCCTCTTAACCGAACTAGGGATTTCCCTGTATTGTCGAGGCGTTTTACATACATACAACATTTAGTTTTAAATACAAAAATTGCACAAATATAAACAACTAGAACAAGAACAGTTATTCACTTGTCTCGCGAACCTGCAGTCGCCCAATAATGCAGCCATATGCTTAGCTATTGTGCTAACGCGTCGCTTTCGTTTATAATATATATACAAATAACGCACTTTGAGTAAGTAGTTTGTTGAAATCGTTTACTGAATCGATTCTATATATAAATTTTATATATTACTACGTAATTCAGTCAATACATGTATACAAAAAAAAAAACCGTCCTTAGGCAAAAGACTTTTAAAAGTGCAGTTTTATTTGTATTATTTATAAATTACTTTTTGTCTTCTTTGGTTGTATAGTTATATTTGTTTGTGCATTGTTATTCAGTATATATTATATACAAGGGGCTAAGGGTGTGCTTATTAGTTATATTTAGTAATTTCACAAAATTTAAATCATCGTAATCATTTTTAGTTTTTAAAAATTTAGACGACAGTCTTGCCCAGTTTGCTAAATCTATACTAAAACGAATACAACAAAAACTAAAACTAATACAAAAAAACAAGTACTAAACTTTTCTAAATCTAAATTAAAATATTATTAAAATCTAAATTATCGTAATTTAATGTCGGTACGAGTATGTCGGTACGAGTTATGTGCATATTAATATTTGATAGATAAAAACAGGTTCAATCAAAAATATGTCTAATGTATTTTCTTTGGTTGCGTGACCGTAATTATGTATATAATATAATATAATATACTCAGTTGCGTGTAGCGGGAATTTAATGTTTTCTCGTAACACAAGTGTGGGGATGTTTTTCATTCGGCGCACCCTGCTATCGTCACCCTCTATACTAAATTGGTCCGTACTCCCTCGAAAATATTATTTACCTATGACATGCGTTTAATGGCTCGGTTTGGTCCTAGGATCGGTTTCAGAAGTGTTTAAATTTAAAGTTAGAAGCTAAGCAATAAAGAAGTCGAAACAATTATTTAAACAACTTTTTAGAAATATAGGTAACTTTTTTTGTTAAAATTACTATTTTCATGTTCGTCAGTATGTGTTGACCACAGATTATAAATATTTACCATGTAAAGGAAAGTATATTATTTATTAAATGTTTTTTTGCAGGCTTTGTTCTTTATACGGCGAGGCCAATATTGATCTCAATACTGATACCAATTTTTACGTGGAAAGAAAAATTATTTAATATTCAAAAGCTAAAGGCAGCCGGGCTAACTATGACATCGGGAAATAAAAATATCAAATTACACACGAGTATTTGTGTTAATATAAGAAACCATTACAAGAAAATTGTATTTTGTTAATGGAACATGAGCCAAATATAATTTTTTTAAATGGTAATAAAGTTTTTGTGTTTGCCACACTTTCGGTGCTTTGGTTTTGAAAATTTATTCAAATACTTCTTTAAAACAGTGGGATGTTTAAAAGTTTAAAATTTGAAAAAGCCAAGGGATAAATATTTAAAAAATATTTACTTATCATTGTTTGTACATTGCAGTCCGTCGTTCATGTTGTCAACACTGGCCTTCACTTGCGTTGCTTTCGTAACGGGCGCACTCGCTTGGTGGGGCCCGCAGTTCATCTACTTAGGACTCACTCTGCAACCGGATGTCCACATAACGAAAGAAAGGTGAGTTTCTTACGAATCATAGTGTTACACGAAGTTTGAATTCATTCAGCTCATAGACAACCCACTGCCTACAAATCGTCTCGATTGTAAAAATATATCTCATATTTAAACCAGTTTTTGTGAATACAGATGTTTGATGAATGAAGATCGTATGTATATGTGCATTATACAACTAATTTTGCAATGAATGTAGAGAATACCTCTCTCTGGTAAATGTTTACATGGCAAGAGCTGAACGAAAGAACGAAAGCTATGTACGAAAACTTTTTATGGATATTATAATCCAATTAGGAGTCAAGTAAAATTTAACAATTGCCTTCCAAACGTAGTGAAACTATTGCATTCAGAAAAAAGTACGTCATGTCCGTTTGACTTATCTCAATCTCAGGCAGTAGTTCTATTTAAATCTTAAAAAAATTGTTGCTTTGTTAATCTCGTTAAAACTCGAAAACGACTCGAACGATTATGATTTTTTGTGTGCGTCTGAGTGAGTCCCTGGATGGCTTACATTCACAATTGGACCTGGTAACTGGTGCTGTTGTCGAGATCCAGAAATCACCCGTGCAAAGCCGGGCCGGATTTCTATCAGGCCGGCTGAAAAGTTCGTGGCCTAGGGTACTTAACGATGAGTAATTAGCTTGTTACTTATGTCACTAGTTTCAACACTCAGTAGTATTATAAAAGCGATCACTAATTAAGTTTGCAATCATGAACCTAGAAATTCTCGGAATTTTGAACACTGCGCCGTGATAAAATTCCTCGTAAAGAAGGGAAATACATCGAAAGACATTTTTGAAGAGATGTCATCGATTCTTCAGGATTTTGCGTCTTCATATACGATGCTGAAGAAATAGGCCCGCATATTTCAACAAGGACGAGAGAGCTGTGAAGAAGACTCGCCCGGGCCGTCCTGTCACGGTACTGACCGAAGAAAACGTCCGAAAAGTCGAAATTTGGTTTTGACCGACAGAAGAATAAAATTGTGGCAGATTGCTGAAGAACTGCAGATTAGCAAAGAAAGAGTTGTAGAAATTCTCCATGAACATTTGATTATGAGAAAAATTTGCGCACGCTGGGTACCGAAAATGTTCACACCGCTCAACAAGTAACGTCGACTCGCAAGCTGCAAAGATTTTTCGGGGCTAGTCGGCGATAACAAGGAAGTCATTTGGCAACGGATAGTCACCGAAGATGAAATATGGATTCGTCAATATGTCCCAGTCTCCGGACCTTTCTTCTTTTTTATCATGTAAAGGATAAAAAAGAAGAAAGGCCGCCGAAGAAATTCAAGCTGCAAAAGTCTGCGTCCAAGCTGATGGCGATTCTTATCTGGTATAGCGAGGGAATTTTGCTTATCGACTACCTACACAGGGGAACTACGATAAATGGCCAATATTAATCCAATTCATTGACGCAGGTTCGCGAGGCTATTGTACAGAAACGACGTGGGAAACTGACGCGCGGAATGCGCAAGACAACTGCACATGGTACGAGGCAAGCCCTGAAAGACACGGGGTTCTCAGAGATTGATCACCCTCCGATAGCCCAGACTTAGCACCTAGCGATTTTTTCCTATTTTCCAATTTGACAAAGGACTTACGGGACCGCAGATTTGCAGATGACAACGAAATAAAAACTGCGGTTGATCGTTATTTTGAAGAGAAAGATACAGAATATTTTATGGTTGGGTTAAAGGCATTGTATGAGAGATGTGAGAAATGTATTTCACTTGAGGGAGATTATATTGAAAAACAAAAAATAGAAACCATATATTTTCTTTCATTAAGTACCTTAGGCCGCAGACTTATCAGTTATCAGCCACCCCTCGCAGTTACTTAATAAATTAAGTGCAATGATAGAGAAGGTTGTGTTTATAAATTTTCAAGTAACAAAATTCAATCTTATTGGGATAATTTACGAAACTATAAGCTGAAATTAACTTGAAAATGGACATTACATATCTGTTTTCAATTATTTCATAAACTTAACCTTACCTAACTACACATTTCATTGCTTACCGTGTTTTCATTCTATCTTTGAGTGTAAATAATGGCTACGTCGGTATTATTTAAGAAAAGTCGATCAACTTTTTTACAATTACACCGCTTTATATATATAGATACAAAACAATACGTGCAGTTTCCAATAATTTGTTAATATCGGTACGCAGTATCATTATTTATTCTTTGATATCGTCTTTAATAGTACATTAACCTCACATCGCATGGTATAAGCAGACACTTTAGGTATAAATAATTATTACTAGTATCTGTTTAGTCTTCAGTTAATGTAAATAGACATAATATATACATTGACAGATTTTTAAAGTTGCTGTGAAAATAATTTTCCAGAATTTTTTTGAACGCATATAAATAAATAATAAACAGATACCTGTTTCATTACTTGAAAATATAGTTTTTCGTTATAACTGTAATATATTGAAACTTATAATTACAAGAATTATTCATAAAATTAATTTTAGTGTTATTATTACTGACGTTTGTGTATGTGCATTGCGTTGTTGTAATGGCATATCGAAATCAATATATTATAATATGGATTTCTATCCTAAATGGAAAAGCAAGCACGCTTAACTTACTTTTGGCTTTTTTCACTGTGTTCGACGGATAACAGAGATAGATAGGTCCATAGTATTCTAACCTGTATAGCTGCATTTAAACTACACTTGCGGTCCTATAAACTAAAATCTCATAGTCCTTGCTTATGTGGTAACATTTCCCTTGAGTCTTAGAATCAAAATATAGAAACGTTTTCGATTTATCTGAACACATAAATTGTTGGTAGTTATCAAGTATTTTTTTATTAGTATCTTAGCACCGAATTCGTTTATGCCGTTATAATAAAAAATCAAATAAAAACAGATGGGGAAGAATGTAACTATTAAGCAATTTCACCCATTAAGAAATTTAATATTGAAAATAAAAGTACAACATCTTCAGTAGTTTATAGCGGAAAATATTTTAGGGGGTTGTGAAGCTGTTAATTTTCATACAATAAGCGATAACGTTTTCCCCTCCTGTAAACATAGTCTAATTATCATAATATTTGGAAATGTAGATATAATGAAAAACTAGGTCCGTACGTTTTTATTTTAAGGAAATATTGCGTACGATATAAGTTATTAGCATCTAAATATCTATATTTTTTACTTATAAACTTCCTCGAGCGTTTTTTAAATTAAATTAAACTGAATTAATAATAAAGACGTACAGGCCTAAAGTAAGGTGTACTGAATCTAACGAGACCATAATTGTCTCATTTCGTATGGCTTAGGGGGGGGGGGGGGTTAAAAACGTTATCGCTCGAAATAATGTTTTAAAAATAAAATGTAGAGAGAGTTGCAAATTCTGCCGACATTAGCAACTCACTCTATCGCACAACGGCGATGCGGAGCGAGCGATGTGAAACAGATAGTATTTTTAAAATAAATGAAATGCCGAACGCGCCGCGTTTAGGCATTTCACAATCTTCTTGACTCGTGACAGCTATGCGCTCATTTATTTTTAAATATTACACTAGTTCAGTAATAACCGCGCCAAAGCGTTGCCACTGCATATGCCACAGCCATAAGCCTAGCTGACGTCAGTTCCGTGTTCAATGTGACGCCGACAGAGTTGAGCCGCGACAAAAAATGGGTAAATGCGTCGTAAAAGAATGCTATTCAAGGTCACAAAAACGTAATGAATCAAGCGGAATCACTTTCAACACATAATTTTTAGTTTTTGTTTTCATATAAACGTAAAAAACCTCAAATAATTAAATAAAATTATCGAATATTGCCATGTAGGTTCAATGTTGCCACTTTGCCGCTTTTGTGATTATCCTACATTAATGGGAGACTATATAATTAATGGAGTAAGTTAATTTGTTACCTCTGATTTTAAATATTTTGGAAATTATAATAAAAACTACGTTTTAACTTTCATACAAAATAATTAATTATTCTTACTTTAGTTTATTTATGAATTATCTATTAAATATATTTTATTACATATTTTATATTAATAATTTCATATTAATTATAATTTCATATAAATTTTATATTAATTATATTTATTACCTATTTTATATTGTTCGATTTATTAGTACAATGCAAATACTTATAAAAATATGTTTTATTTCATCATTATGTTTACTTCTATTCATCTAATAAGCTTAGCATCCTTTTTTACTTAGAGGACGCAATGAAGATTTTAAAATAGAATATACTTTTTCAATTTAAAAACAATTAACTGCAGCTTAAAATACTTACTACTTAATATTTTTATTGCTTATTTTAGGTAAAATTTCATAAAGTAAGCCACACCAACCCGCTATTACATGTTTGTGTGTCTATCTTTATCCAATCTTAGCGACGATATTGTTTGCAACTTGTGTAAATGAGATAGATACATGTTTATTTAAAATTGTTATTAGTTTCAAAGCTACGTCGTCGCGTTTGGATAGTGGTTACACTTTTTTCGACGCACGGTTATGTGGTTTGCTCCTCTAGTGTTGTATAACTCAATGTATGCGCTACTCTGTTGTGAGGTTTGAAAATTTATTATTTACCTAGTATATTTAAAGATTTTTACATAGACAGTTTCTGATCAGTGAATGGAAGTCATCGTGGTGTACTTAGAAAGTTTGATCTTTATTTTATTTTATATTGTGTAACGTATCTATAGTTTTACTAGAATATCTAGGTTATAAAAATTTTGCAGGGTTATAAGAAATTGAAAAAGTAGGTCTTTAGTTGTACGATGTAGATCTATTGCTGTTGTGCTGTGTCCGAACGACTAAGATAGGTAACCGAAAGAGACAGCTGCTGCTCGTACTGATTATGCCTAAAACTAGACAAACATTTTTTTCAATAAACAATATAAGAAGAATCTTGTTGTTCCTTTTTATGTTCGATTTTTTTTGCTCGATTCTATAATGTAGGTATAACTATGCAGTTTAATTTTGGAAGGTTCTTAGTTTGAAAAATTATTCCGCTGGGTCTCTTGCTGGTTTTTCCCTGGACAGAGATATTATCTGTACCAGAGGTAATTAAAAAATCGCAATAAGTATTATGTAATAATTTGTACTGAATAAAAATTATTTTATTCTATTCTATTCTCGAAAATAAGTAATTTAAAGAAAATTTTTTTTTTTTTTTTTTTTAAAACGTTATAATTTACACAGAATAAAAATTATTCTATTCTATTCACAAAATAAGTAATTTAAAGAAGAAAAGTAATAATTTACACTGAACAAAAATAAGTAACTTAAAACAAACGTAACAATTTACACTGAATAAAGTTATTCTATTACATTTTATTCTAAAGAAAAAAAAACGTAATAATTTACACTAAATAAAATTATTCCGTTCTATTCTATTCGCTAAAACAAGTAATTTAAAGAAAAAAACAAAACATAGGAACGTGGCAATGGTAGATATAGACTGTCGATTCAGGGAGAAATTAGAGATACACGTTTATATTTACTAAATGCCGGGCGGATGTCCCGATGAGACGGAGCAGCGTGGTGAGGTAGTGAGGTAGTGAGCAATGGGTGCATTTGGCAGAAAAAAGCGCTAGCAAGCGCTTGTAAGCAAAATGGCGATCGTAAGCGGTAAGCGCTGTCAAATCGTAAGTAGCTATTTTCCTCTAGGACACAAACACCGGAGAACCTAACCTAATTTAAATATATGTTTGTAAAGTATTCATATTCAAAACTTACCAATCATGAATTTTTAATAACATGTATATGTCTATTCATGTCATTATATTACTTAAAACTAATATTGCACAAAACAACTATAAACTCTACTTCAAAACAAACAAATTAAATAAGCAAAATGGGCGGATTGTGTCAGCGCTACTGAAGTTAGCAAACGTGTCCTGGCCGAAAACTGTTTAGTTTCGCCATTTTGCTTACAAGCGCTTGCTAGCGCTTTTTTCTGCCAAACGCACCCATTGTTTGGGGGGGACAGCGTGTCGTACAAGTTCGGGCTGGTGGGCATGGTGGCGGGCGCGCTCGGTGTGCCGGCGGGCGCGGCGCTGGCGGCGCGGCTGCGCGCGCGCCTGCCGCACTGCGACCCGCTGGTGTGCGGCGCCGCGCTGCTCGCCTCCGCGCCGCTCGTCTACCTGGCGCTGCTCGCCGTCTCCGCGCACCAGGCGCTCGCCTACCTCCTCATGTTCCTCGGCATGTTAACGCTCAACCTCACCTGGTCGATCGTCGCGGACGTCGTCCTGGTGAGCGCAACGCCCGCAACCGCTATCTCAACCCCATCTGGGGATGTTTCGTTCTCCCTTACATATCACCGCGAGGTATACGAAAAACTATCTCGGCGCGGTGATTTAACTACCGCGTTCTTGTTAACTCGCTTTCTTCTATCTGTTCGGGTGGAATTTATTAATTGATTTTAAAAAAACTTCCCGAGAGACTTGAGATTTTGAACATAGCTCAGATCGGATGACAATGTAAAAATTTTAAAAATAATGTACTTAATTAAAAAAAATACACATTTAAAAAAATCACCTGTTTGTTTCGTAAGTCGTAAGGTAATAAAAAGAATTTTACATGTACGCCGAATATAAGTAATATTAAAAGGAGAACGAAACGTTTCCTGAACTAAGGAGTCGAGAATCAGTCACCGTCTATTACAGTTATTCCAATGAGGCACGTGTTCCGTAACTAATAGAGTCGGGCGTTACTTTGCATATATTAACTAGTTGATTTTTTCGTACTCATGGTTGCACTGATTAGGAAAACTGTTTCACTTCACACATCATAAATTGTTATCAAGTGTCATCGCTAATCGGTTAATGCCAGCTGTGTATAGCATGCATAGCATACTAAACAATATTACAGTCATCGCTAATATTGCATAGATATTTAAATTTTAAGTTACATTTAAAATTTCACGATAGCTGCCATCCAGGTTGGAGAAAAAAAGAGTATTTTAGTGTGCATGTATGTAGATTGGTAGCTAGCTCAACGCTACTTACAAATTCATCGCATCGAATCACATTCGTTATGAATAAACATTATTTTTTTGAAATCCGTTGGGATGTCAGCTGTCGTATAGATATAGGGTATGTTCCGAAATACAACCCAGTGTACTGTCCAGTGCAAATGACATCATGAATCGACGCTATACTGGTGATTCGTTCCAAAACATAAGTTAGTACATGACGTCATACATTAGCGCCATATTGGAAAAGTGATGGCGATTATTTTGTCATTTTGTGCTCCAAAAATCATTATATCCTCCTATTGGAGATACCAGCAATTATTCTATAATTTTTTGTATTTGAATAAATAAAAACAAATTCTGGCATGCTTTATTCAGCGCACACACAATTATGTGTGATCGGATATCGGACGCAATATGGCGGCGGCACGCCAGTACAATATAGTGTCAATTGATGACGTCATTTGAATTTGCCAGTGTACTGGGTTGATATCGGAACATACTCATAGAGTCGTGGTTCGGTCGCGCGTGGAGCGAGGGCGCAAGGCGCGTGCGTGCATGTGTTGATACGAGCGATGTTGCACGAAGGGTGTCGCTAATCTTCGGCGGGATCACGATGGCGTCGGGGCTGGTAGGCGTGCCGGCGGGCGCGTGGCTGGGCGCCGCGCTGGTGAAGCGCTGGCCGCGCGCGCACGCCGTCATCTGCGGCGCCGGCCTGCTCGTGTCCGCGCCCGCGATGGCCCTCGGGATGCTAACCACCCAGAACTATTTCTACGCGCCATTCATCTTCATGTTCATAGGCGAAGTCGCTTTGAATCTCAACTGGGCAATCGTGGCCGATATGTCGCTGGTAAGCGCCGCGAGACGGGTTTTCCTCAGTTTTTGGCTTTATTCAATTTTCTATCTATATGTATGTTCTCGTTTTGGGTTCGAGTTGTTGTACAAACTGTAATTTTATTGTTTTACTAATAGTAATGGAAGTGTGCTGTGTTCAAAATTTATTTTGAACTTCTTAAACTCATAATAATATTTTTCAAATTTTGAATGTTCTAATCGGTATTATCGATAAAGCGAAAAACATTTGGAAGCTGTGCATTGTCTTTTTATAGTGCTTTTAAAATGGTGGCGGTATCGTAACCTTAATGCATGCCTTAATTAGGAATATCCTTAGCATTTAGTAAATCATGCTTGTTTCACATTCATTAAAATCTTGAAGTCAGTCACTCATGAGTACGTCTGGTGTTTCGTTGTTTTAAACAAGTAAAGAATTGATTATAAAAAAATATAATATTACGATGTATTCTCATTGGAATATTATATCTTCTAATCTGTAATTCTTCAGTGACTGATTTCTTTTTGCTAAATAGCGACATCTATTGGTAGTGTTGTGCAATACTACTCTAAACACTATTTTAGCACACTACTGTTCACATTAATAATTAATATCAGCAATAGATGGCGCTAAGGCCTGACTTTAATTTTAACTAATTCTATTACTTCAAAATATAACAAGAACTTATTTAAAGTTATACCTGGAATGTTTTGAGTAAATTAACACAAAATTATAACATATTTTATGTACAATATGAATATTATGTACTCTAGTCGATTTTGCATATAAAACATTTCTTTACCTTTATTTTCTCTTATACTGTCTTGAATAACTACGATAGCGTTAAATCGAAATTGAAGAAATAGAATTATCAATCTAAAATTCTAACCCCAAATATTAACAGAGAAATCTTCCATTCTTAATAAGTTTAATATTTTTTATATTTTATTCACAGTACGTTGTCATCCCACCGCGACGTTCTACGGCGGAAGCTTTCCAAATCCTTATATCACATATGCTTGGGGATGCTGGTAGTCCCTATTTAGTAGGAGTGGTAAGTGATGGTCATCAGCCTCATGCGTTTTCGTCACAATTAAAATAAGTGATAGAACAATCCAGATATAACTATGATGCATATGGCTTATAGTAATAAGGTGGCGATAGAAAATAATTTATCGTGGTAGACCCATACTGTTTGTAGTTCGAATGGATCGACACAACCGGGGAGGACTACGCTCTCACAAAATACCAGCTTAATGCTGTTTGTGCTATACTAAACAGGTGATGCAAAAAAATAATTAAGAAAATGACAATTGAAAAGTCAAATAAAAATTAAATAATAACTTTTGTTAAAGTTAAAATAGTATTAAGTTAGTAAATAAAAGTATTAAGTTTCTGTTGTTTCGTATAGTGAGTGTAGAGAATCGGAGAGCACTTTTTATTGGCAACAAGGCATTGACTTGTAGTATATATTACTAGGAAGTAAGTAAGGACCGGGCCGACCGTGCAACTAAATCGGACCAGAGCCCTGACCCTAAAATTACAGTTTAGGGCCAACGCGACTCGGTCGACAGACATAAATATGCCTAGTTGTGTGGGATATCGTATCGTCGATAAAATACCTTATATTAATTTTGTTACAATTAAATTATTATATAAACACATTTTTAAAGTTTTATTTTATAGATAGTTAGTTTCGTTGCGTTACCAAGATTAGGCCAGGGCTGGATTCAGACTTTCAAAAATATTGTACATGAAAAATAAAATCTATCGAGCCCCGATTGACCAGAAAGGGAGCTAATGTAAATATTATAAAAAAAAATCGCAGTACTCATGTAGCATACAGAAATTCTCGATATCTTAGTGTTTATATTAAAAATACCCAATAATACAAGTCGGTCGACCTTAAGGTAAAATTTATTTATTATGTATTTTCGCTTAGTATCAGATGCGCTACTTTTTCTTGTATGAGTAAATTATTTAGATGGGCGTATCGTCCTTTTGAAATCATTTTAACAAGGCATTCTATTTCAGTTTTTAGGGTGCAAGAGAAATTAAGACCATCCAAATTCGTTCTCTTGTTGTGCGACAACTTTAATACTAATCAAAAGCGTGACAATTTATTTCTGAATTTTTTATTTGACTTTGCATTTGTCATTACCATAAAAAAAATTTCTGCATCGCCTTCTGTTTGTGTCTGCATAACAACATATTATGTTGATACTGAGAAAATGCCAGGCACTTTTGGATTAAATGTCCACTATAATATGTAATTTTTTGTGAATGTTTTAATATATTAAGATACACAAAATAAAGAACTTATTCAGTCAATTTTTAAAACATTGCAAATAATAATATAGAATTAAATATGATGTATTTGACAACAGTTTTCCATATTTTCAATTGACTTCAAAAAAAAAGGGAATCCTCAATTCGACCGTATACTTTTTTCTGGGTGAAGCCCATTTTATTTGAAAGCTGTTGCTTCTCATCTGGTCGGTAGTTTATTTAATTGACTTCGACTACATTGATGATGTTCTCATTTTATTTATATTGAAGTTAATTATACAAAACGTTTAATCGCCATCAAAAGCATTCCTAGGTGCAAATAATAAAAATAACCAACATGACCAATTTATATTAATTTGTATTTAGAAATTGTATTGCAACCATGTTTTTTTGAATAAATTAGTTTGTAGTATTAATAATTATAATCAGAAAATCTAATGTTTTAATTATGTATTGTGTATAATGTACAACAGTTTCTACATATATACTGATGAAAAGTAAATCATTGTAAACATACTTGATTTATTTTCAGATATCTGAGAGTTTGAAGAAATCATTAGGTTCAGGACGTATGGAGACACCAAGCCAGAGTGTACAGTTTAGAGCATTACAATATGCACTGTTTGTAACGTGTTTCGTCGAAGTTATTGGAGGAGCGTTATTCTTGATGACATCAAAGTACATAGTCAGAGATAAACAGAAAGTGGATAGAGCAATTGCCGGTGAGTTAATTTAGAGCAATTTTTTTTCTCCGAGTCCAATCTACTTTCTTTTATACTATCTTCACATTGTTTCAGTGTCATCAAAAATAATTTAATCTATAGGCTGGTGAGTGAATACTCATGAAAGCTTGGTGTGCATGAAGTTAGCTTTTCCATCATGCATCACGAGGTCGAAGATGTCACAATGGATCATACATGTTTTATATTCATGATTAGTAATCTACATAATTTTTTTTATAGATTCTGAAGCACAGAGTAGCGAGCCCTCACACAGCCAAGCCCATGAAGAGAATTTAGTTGGTGAATAGGAAAATGATAATAATACAAATGTCAGTCTATTTCAAGAGACAGATTTATGAAAGCTGTGATCTTTCATTATGGAATAAGATGTTCCTCGGTCAAATGACTAATTTTTGATAGATAATGAAATGCCACCATGTGGATTATGACAGCAAATATATAGTAATTTGATTGTAACATGCAAAAGACTGATTCGTAATGCATAGCATATGTGTACGTAAAGTGAGTGGTTCAGCAGCCTGTGTGAAATCAATTAAAGTACGATAGAATACATTTTTTGTAAGGCTCTGCTGACAAGTCATCACATTCTGTTAAAACGTATGTGCCTACTTAATTACACTAATTTATTAAAGATATTTTTTTAATTTGTGGATCAAATTCTAATACAAATTTATTTATTTTACATATTACATGATTAACTTGTTTATGGGCATTTTTAAACTCACTTTAACTGATTTAATTTGAAGTATTAGCTGGGTTATGCAATGTTCTCATTTAACATGTTACTATAACGGATTTAATAACAATATCAATTACCCTTGCACTTGCAATGAGTATTGCACTTGCATAGTAGTTAATTCATTGTCACCCATGTTGGAAATATATTACCTCAATCACTTGTTATAAATAAATATATTTTATATCAGGTTTATTTATTTAAATCATTGTTAATAAGTTTTATTTACTAAACTCTTTTAATTTTAAAAATATGTACTAAAACATTCTATGTATTACATTTAACACATTATAATTTTTTCGTAATGAAATATTTTGATTATATAATTTTTTTTATTATTTTTTGTAACTTAAATATGTTTAAAATCTGTTTTAATTTTTTTATATCCGGCGTCTAAATTGACTATTTAATTAAATAGTTATTTTCAGTAATCGGAATCAATACTAAATAGTTTTTAAAATATGGGCTTTGCCGAAAAATTGACGGGAAAGGCAAAGCAATGAGTATAGTAAGATGTAAATAAAATGGTGGCTGGCAGGTAGATTTAATGAATACGATAAAATATCATAACTATGTTGAATAATGAAAGGTTTATCTGGAAATATATTGCCTTTAACAAATTAACTTTTAGTGAATGCAATATACAGTAAAACACATTTACAATTTTTTGATTCAAGTGATCCGAATAGAACATAATGATAAAGAATTTAACAATATTGATTACATGTTTATCATTGTCTCAATGTGGTACCCGTAATTCAAACAAGCTATAATAACAAAATATTATTCAATTTAATTTGCAATGCAAGTTGAACTAAATTGTATTGTTAAAGACTGAATTATTTAAATTTGTTCTAATAAATTAATGGGTGTTTCATTTTGTAAATAGTGTTGTGTTTAGAATAAATTGAAAAATAAAATATAATTTATTTTTCAAAATTGCAGTTTTATTGCTCAAATAAAGCATGTTCAATTATCCTCTTTAATCACATTTGAGAATACACACTAAACATGATGAGAAAATGGCACGTTCGGTGGGTCTATGATGAAACTTATCCATAATATAAGAATATTTGAGTTGTGAGATAGTGACGTAAAATATAAACGTATCTAAACTAAAGACTAATGATAAGGTTGAATCACAGCCACTTATACACGGTGTTAGTGTAAACAGAGAAACCAGTGGTTTGGTTTCACTTATAAAACGTAAATTCAATGAATTTAAAAAAAACGCTATTTTCTTTCATAAAATTTAAAAAGTTTCTGTCCGACACCATCCGCAAATTCATGATACCCTAAGCGCATGAGTGACGTAATCACTGTAAAGATTACCGCCCGCGCTAGCTACCTACACTACCTTCCAATAAAAACACAATAGGTACACATAACCTGTGATGTAACTTTCCTTCATACTTTCATCCTGGCTTAGTACAGACAAAAATTGAGATTTTACTAAAAAAGAATGTTATTTTTCATTGAATTTACGTTCTATAAGTGAAACTAAACCACTGGTTTCAAGGATAACGGTGTTTACACTAACACCCTGTATTTTACAATTTTTATAAAATTTTAGGCTCATCTTTTAAGTTTTTTTTTTTAAATATAAAAACATTTGCTTGATAATATTACACCTTCACGAAATATGAATTATCTAGCAAGCTTTATTTGTCTTCACATTCACAACTCAGTGTTTACAAACTATTACAAAGAAGTATTTGTCATTATAGATATCTTTTTTTAATAATTTTAAAAGCTAAAATGAAGTGTCAACATTTGTAGGAGTCATTCATTTACAATTATAATAATAATAATATAACAAGTATCAGTCATCAACAACAATTATTAAAATAAAATCAATAAGTACATGGCACCATCAATTAAGAATAGTTATTAGCAATTATTTAAAATCAAATACTTATATAATTAAAATCTATAACAATATGGCATCTTAAAGTAATACCCGTCGGTGGAAATATTCAATTTTCATAAAATATGGTCAAATATTTAATGTTCAACATTGTTTTATGGTAACATCTACCTAGATTAAATGGTATATAAGTTATTCTTCTGAACCATAACTGTTTGTAGACCTTGTATCATCATTTTGAATTTTCCATGTGTCAATTCTTAGTTTTTTTGGTATTGGTTCACATGAGCTGTATACGTCACTCAAGACCCGTTTCACTGTAGCCACGTGCCTTGCAGTGACACTATCAGAATTATTATTTTCCTCATCAGAATTTTGGTACATGGTCAACTGACTGAAGTCTTTTACTTGCATAGATTCTGTGAGTAGCCTCTCTATTTTCATAATCACAATGGAATCCTGGAAAAGTCAAGTAAAAGTTTATATTCACTATTAAAAATTTTATTCTTATAGGAACTTTTGTTGAAGATTATTTTTGTCATGATTTTATTCGTCATTATTTTACCAAATTGGCGAATTTAAGTGATCCCCCACTTTGTGTTTGTGGAGTGTTAATGTGAGAGAATCTACCACGTCACTTCATTACAGCTAATGGAAATGTCAGAAAAATGGCAAACAATAAAATAGAATATGTAAGGAATGAGTTGCTCATTCACAAAAATTATTAACCATAACGTACCTGCATCCAGCTATGGTTGAGGATTTCATCAAGTGTGATCCGTTTCTGAACATTCACAGTTAGCATCCTTTTCATTAATAGTTTGGCCGGCAAACTTATTTTTTTCCAATGTGCAACAGAAAACTTGTACTGTCCTCTTAAGATCTGTTCTCTTAGTGAAAGATCTTTATAATCAGGGGAGAATGGCAAGTAACCTGAAAGACTGAAAAAGGTAGAAAAAATTATATTTTACAACTTGTAGATTTTTTATGCCTGAAAAAAATTATTAATATGAACTATTCTTATGGATATTATTGCGTTTAATTTACTTAATATCCGATATTTTAATATCCGACGTTTCACATGATCATGGGGGACTGAGGTGGTTGACGTCTGCATGTCAGAGTTAACTGGGAGTAGCTACAGTACATTTGGTGCGATCTACGAAGAATGAACTTACTGTGTCTTGAAGTGGTATGCTTGGGTTTAGTTTTAATTTCAATAGCCTCACATGAGAATTTGTAGTTTATCAAACCTGATGTAATGGCACGTGGCCGTCTAGGATTTGATCACAAACTGCAGACTTCCACGAGGGTTGGTGTTTCACGCCATTAATATGTTTTTTATGCGGGTTTTTATAGATCTTTTTGTTTGCCCTATAAATGAGAGACAACATCAAGCATGTACACTCATGCATCTTGTACAGGTATATTACACTTGACTGAGTAAGAACTGACCAGTCCTTCTTCGGTGCCTTGTAAAATGTTCTAATAGAAGCTCAAGCTTCAAGATGTAGCCAATCTTTTCTGTGTCACCTCTGACAGGTAGTAAAGCAGGCACTCACTCGACTGTCACCCACTCATGTCAGTGACCGAGCGATGCTGACTAGTTTATTCATTAATCATTTCTGCCCATCACAAGTTCACAGCGAAACATAGGCCTCCCCTGTATCTCTTACCAGGTTATCACTCTAGTGGAGGGCCATACATTGCTTAACTGTGCAAAACTACCACTCAAGAACCTTTCTTCCCCATTGGTTATTTGTTCTTCTCTATATGGCTGGCCCATTGTCACTTCAGCTTAGTGATCCGTTCTGCTATGTCTGTTATTCTAGTCCTACTGTAAATATCCTTATTTTAGTTCGGCCGTTCAGAGAATGCGTTCCTGACACCTATCAGTTAGTCACGACTAGTGATGGGCACAATATAACACTGAGTTCGTTACCGTTCATACCGTTTTAAATTGGCGGAATCATTTGAAATTTATATTTTAGTAATTTAAGTGGAAACCAAAAAAAGGTAATATTAATATAATAAAATTGTTTTATTTATTCTTTGTTACAAAGTTACAATCTGTATTTCTATGCAATAAAGTACATTGAATTGAATGTGCGTACAGAATATTAATCAGACTCCGATTCGCTTGAGGAGGTGGTGTCTTCATCTTCATCTTGGCCTACATGTATAATTATATTATTATCAATAACAGAATCAATCCTGATATCTCGGTCAAAATGTTCCACAATCAGATTTTTAGTCTTCTCAACAACCTTTGCCCAGTCATCTCTTGTGACTTCCCCGCAGGCTTTTAATAGGGTCATCATCTTTTTCGTGCTGAATGGCGGGGAAGTATTGTGGCGGGCGGCGTAACCTTTTATTTGAGCCCAGATTAGCTCAAGCGCGTTATATTGGCAATGATACAGTGGAATTCTTAGAACGCGATGCCCGTACTCCAGAGCCAGTTCATCGATTTCGTATCGCACATTTGCCGCTTTATTTTCTTTAACTAATTTAATTAGCTCTGGTTTTAGCATCTGCATATTTGCGTCAATGCCTTTTGCTTGTAACCAAGCCACCATTTCTTCTTTTTTATTAGCTTGGGTAGGTGATTTCTGTATTTGAACCGAGTGATAGGAGGCATTATCCATGAATATTACAGAAGGCTCTGGTAGGCTGGGCAAAAGCACGTTCTAGAACCACTCTTTAAATGTAGTGGCATTCATTTCCTCGTGGTAGTCATTTGTGGTTTTTGATTGAAATGCCAGTAACGCGTTCTCCACAAAGCCGTATTTTGCAGAACCTGCGTGGCATATTATCAGACGGACCCACTTACCCATTCGTACTTTCGACGTCGACGCTTGTGTATCATCCGTCTAAGAACGGGAAACCGTGTCATTGGCGTTTAGCCATGTCTCGTCAATGAACACGACATTATCCCAGTTATCAATATTTTTTGCTTCTCTCAAAAAACTTATCCGTTTTAAAATTATGTCGTATCGTTCTAATAAAATTTTCCTTTTGTCTGTTTTTTTTATATACGAAAAACCAATATCTTTTAAGATTTTGGTTAAAGCAGTTTTACCCTAGCTAAACAGTCCAGCTTCTCTTAACGATGCCAAACGATGACAAATTCATTCGAATGTAACCATATAAATGATTTCTGATTGCATCGGCGTCAAAGGTGTCAATATCTGTCACGGGTTTAGTTCTACGTTTCTTCTTCGCAGTACGTAAAATATTATCTTCCGTGCCAGTAGAGCCGAACTTTTCTTTATTAATATTTCTTATCGTTCGTTTGCTAACTCCAAGCGCCTGAGAGACGCGTTCTTGTACTTGTTCGACAGGTAACAGGGGTCCGCCATTATGCACCAAAAGTAAAAAGAACGCAATACAAAACACAATCGAAGTCCGATTTAGCGCCGATGTTTGAAAAGCAGAAACAGTCCATTAAACGAAAGCCGGGTAATCAAATAAAAACAGATCGAAAACACCATCTTCAACTTTCGTTGTCATCTTTCTATTCACTTTTGTTTTATGTATTCATTAATCGAATGCGTCGATAAACGCGACGCCAACGTAGTCATTTTGTTTCTGTCAGTGCAAATGAGCGACAAGAACATTTTACTTGGTGGAATATGTACCGCTTACTTAGTCACAGCATCAAGTAATTCTAGAAAAAATGGAATAAAACGAAAGTTTTGGATACGCGGCTATTATAATAATCGAAATAATGTGATAAGTGAACTTATAGAAGGTAAGGATATTCTTTTTTAAAAAAAAATCACGCATGTCGGAAAGAAATTTCAATCAGCTTTTGAAAATGAATGAAAAACTTTAATGTAATATCTTTTTCTTCGTCCGCCATCTTGTTGTTGAACGCTTTGTGGCACAGAAATCCACCAGACGCGGGAAACGTGGTTCGCATCAAGGGCATGCCTTACGTGCGCTGTGACGCATGCACTTGATGAACGAAAAAAGGTACAGTGTGGACATAGCTATTCATTATCATGCATCATTGGCAACACCCGCAGATTACGTCAAAGTGATGTGGCATAATCTCCCGAACGCTGCCAAGCCGAATTGAATCTGTTGATTGACTTTTCATTTGAACTTAGGCTTACCTAGTTGGACATTATGTTAGTGCAAGTGCCTTCAACAACTACTGGCAAATGACACCCACCATGGACCTTTGTTTTGTCCATACTCATTTAAGATCCATTGGTAGACATAAGACATTACTCACACCTGGGTGTGGCTCCAACGATGACGTGTACAGCTGCCCATAGAACCTCACAATCGAACCCAAAATCCCTGGTGTGTTCCAGCAATAACACTGCCACAATTGGTCTTCAAATTCGATATTTGACTTTCTCGGGTAAGCAGATCAAAGACTTTGGAGACTTGATTTCGCTTAAATACTTCATTAACCTCACAAACGCCAAACGTCCAAATTTGAACGCTTCGATATTCCGTCAAAATTCAAGCGGTCAAATTTGACCACACCCACCCACAGCACTTTAACTCGTAAATACTTATATTTAGAGACTACTTTTCAACGAAGAAGTTTGGCATTATAGTATCAATATGAATTTTTCTATCCTCAAGCGGAATAAAAAAACAGTAAGTCTATGGATATTAAATTATATTCTACGTTCATTACGTACGCCGTTTTCATTCGGTTGTGTTGATTTTTGGATTTTTCTAGTGTTTTACTATAGTGTTTTATTATACAATTGTTATAAAAGTTTTTGTGTGAATATAATTTATCTTTTTACGTAAATAATTTCGAGTAATATATAGAAATAACTGTGATTTTCACGCTGCCGACATCTGCTTAGTATGTTTTTAGGTTTTTTGTTATCAAAATACAATAAAATCTTTTTGTAATGAGTAAAAGCTGACACACACATATGATGCCCACAGGATAGAGAATTCTGTATAGATTTTATAATGCCAAACTTCTTCATAGAAAAGTAGTCTCTAAATATAAGTTTTAATGGTTTTAAGTGCTGTTGGTGGGTGCGGTCGCATGCGACCGCTTGGGATTTACCAAGCGCAAGCGACTGCATGGGAGTTTTATGGGAATTGAAGGGTTAATACGACCTGTATTATTGTTGCTTAAGTCTCGCCGCATACATTTGGAGATCTGTCTCGTCAGTTGCCTGCATGTTATCACTTGTGAAGACTGCAGCTTCACATCCAGTTTAACTACCATGAGATTAAGATTGAGTTCAGAGCGTTTTTGGGTTCCTCTGCAACTCCTTTCTCCTCCTCTGGATTTTGCAATCTTTTAGGCAGCAAAAACGATTTTGTAATTAGAGCCTTTAATTCATTAGGTTGACCTCCCCAACATAAGGTTAAGGTTTAGGGTGCTCTCACCATTCAGTGAACGCTGCCAGTTTTTACCCTCGCGATTTTTGGTTTGGTTTTGCATTGAAGTCTCTCATCAACACCTGATATTGGGTTTAGGAGGAATGCATGGTTCTACAGATATCCTTCTACATTTCTTCCACCTCTTCATCTGGTTATGACGAAGTGCGTAAACCTATATAACCTTCAACAAATACTATTTGGTGATTCTGAGTCAGAGGTATTAGGTCCTCAACGCGACCGATACACTCCCAATCTTTACAACGTTTTTAATGAGAGACTTGTGGACGATAAATCCGACACCTCCTTGGGATAGATAGTCGCCCTACGGTGATAGAACAAGTTGCCGGATTTGAGGATTACTGTTTCCTCTTCATATCTTCAGACCTCAAGACAGCACAGCTCCAATGCCGTATTGAAAATGATAGCCGGCAGATTCGACCATTTCCTCCAACATTGCTACGTTAGACATTTTACATTCGCTGTGACGTCGAGAAGGTACTGAACATGTGGTTAATGTAAATGACGACTTATTTATTTTCAATTTCGCCCAAATTTCGACGGAATTTAAGGCTTTCTCATAATGCACATACATAAGACATAGTGGCAAATTGTACTCTTCGATTTTCTGTACTATTTGCTATAGAGTAGAAAAGCTTAAATGGCACAAGCGGCATAGCCGCTATTAAAGAGAAGTCGTCATCCGTAAAAACAAAATTCATAAATTTTTTACTAATTTCAGAGGTATATTTTTTTTAGTGGTTGTTCCCTTTTGTAATGTCACAAAATTTATAATTTCAAAACTAACAGGATTCGTTTGCTTCGGAATCTAATAATTACCAAGTTCGAAGAAGGACAAACACCTATAGTAAAATTATTTTGTCCGTGCAGTTGGGATCATAAATCATAGCTCGGCCTCAGCCCGGCAAGGGCGGTGAGCTTTTTGCGCGGGCGCAACGCCATTATCGATAACAACAAATGAATCATCGTAGGCAGGTGCACATGGCGGTGGTGCGGTTTTTATATTTATTTTTAATATAACTTGTTACATTCCAAACATTTGTACTTATAGTTTTTTTAATACCTACCTACCTATAGATACCTAATGAATAATTTATTTTAAATCATTATTATTCTTATTTTAATAAATACGACGTTTTATGTATTTTTTTCTTTTTATCACTAACCCACATAATGACCAAACTAAATACATTATCGATAACGCTTATCGACAACAATAATGAGCGAGACGAGACGAGAGCGAAATACTACGATGATTTATGACCCAAACTGCAGGAACAAAATAATTCTAGTATAGGTTGATTTTTTCCAATAACATGCAATAATGTATGAAAACAATACTTGAAATACCTTCAATCCTTTAATATGAAATTGCCTCACTTATGACTGACAGTTATAACTTATAACATTGCTTTTCATTAATCACTTTTCCCATTGTGTTTCTTTTTTATTGCCACATAAGATGAAAATTGCTAGAAAACCAACCTCACTTCAGAAACTATTAAGTGGTATTTTATTATTTTCTGTTTTAAAGTTGGTTTTAACTTTGAATTTACAGTCAACATTTTAATTATAAATTAATCAAGTAAAGAAGTGCATAATAGAGTAAAATCAATAGTTCTAGTACACTTGTCACGATTATTCACAATTACAAACTAAGCAGTAAATATAAAACATAAAACTAACAATATAACATAGTGATTAAAATATATAGACATCCGCCGCAAGCGAATGACCATAAAATATTACTATGCTTTGCATTTGAAGCTAGGCAACGAAATGTAAGTTTTTGACCGTTTTCTAAAAAATAAATTCATTTTAAAATAAAAAAAATTTAAAAATTTACTGGTGACATAGTCGTCATCATCATTACAGCCCTTCACTATTGCGAGCTTTATGGCGCAGTGGCTTATTATTAAGTGGTGGTGATGAGGGTTCGAATCCCGCATGAAACAAGTATTTGTAACATCATTACAGCCGATCACAATTTCTCCCCAAGAAAAGCTGCAAAGCACGGTCCTTAGCCACCTGCATCACTTATCAGATCTTCACTTCATCTAGTAGGGGGGCGCCCCTACACTTCGTTCACGGTTACGAGGCTGCCACTCTAGAACCTTTCTTTCAAATCGGTTGTCGGTTCTTTGAGCTATATGGCCGGGCCATTGCCGCTTCAGCTTACTAATCTGTTGGTCTATGTCGGTCACTCTGAATCTACTGCAGATATCCTCATTTCTAAGTTTATCACGCAGAGAAACCCCGAGCATAGCCCTTTCCATGGCTCGGTCAACGACTGTGAGTTTCCTTATACTGCCAGCGGTGATGGACCACATCTCGGATCCATAGGTATCTCGCATTTTTCGTAACAAACCAGAATTTCGCTTTAAAGAAATATAATTTTTTTTAAAGAAGGGGTGTCTGTAGTTCATTTGAAAGCGGTGACAGCGATCTGTGAGACTGTGAGGTCTACATTTTGATTATTTTGCGCATATGAAAGCATTACACACTACACCTTCTTAGCATATCTTGTATTTATGATCTGAGGAGCTAACAATATAACAATTTTCATATGCACACAATATTTCATAAGCATAAAATGGACAAAAGACAACTACTTCTCTTTTAAAACCAGCATCTCACACTGAAATCTCCCATGACAGAAGTTTGGATCTAACAAGAGATATTGGTCTTTAGGTCAGATTAGTGCAAAAATAGTTTCTTTTTCGTTAATTGTAACGTACAGCAACATTACGAGTACGCCATTTAACAGAATCAAATGTGAGTAATGGAAGTTTACTTGTCAAATCTGTATTTCATAGCAATCTATATAAATTAATTACCAAACAAAGAAAATAACTCCTAAGCTCCACACATCGACTTCCGGTCCATAGCAGTTCTGTCCATTTGCTCTTAATACTTCTGGTGCCAAATACAAAGGTGTTCCACACATTGTCTTCATGAAGCTATTTTCACCTACAAATTTGCTTAAGCCAAAATCGGTGATTTTCACTAAGGTTTCTTCTTCTTTACTCTCAAGTAGCACATTTTCAGGCTAAAATGAAACAAGAAAATCAGAAAAAATTCTCATTTCATAAAATTTGGGGTAATATCAAGTTATTACTTTTAGGTCTCTGTGAGTGATTCCTTGAGAGTGTAGGTATTTCACAGCCAGCACAATTTGCCTGAAGAAGAACCTTGTAAGATGTTCCGATAGCTGTCCTTGTTTTGAGATTCGGTCAAATAGTTCACCACCCTGCATTAGCTCTAACACAATGTAAACCGAGTCAGGAGAGTCAAAAACTTCTTTTGTTGAGACTATGCAAGGCTGTAAAATAGAAAACAAATAATTAGAAAATGCCTTAAAAAATAAGTTTTAATATTTTAAATATACAAATGACGTCATAATCATGTTTAAAAATATTTATACATATTAATAAATTGGCCAACTTTATGAAGTTCCAATTCTGCGACAGTTTTTATCAATTCAATATTTTTGAGTCGATAAAAACCGTTGTCGAACGACGGCTCCGTGGTACAGTAGCTTAGCAATGAGTTTCGACGGTGAGGGCCACGGGTTCGAATTCCGCACGGAACAAGTATTTTTATGATCTACAAATAATTGTTCCGGGTCTGGATGTTTGTCCTTGTGCAGTTTTTTTCTAAACTGCCTACATAATACAGGAGAAAATCCTAGTGTGGAGATTTCGTGTGTTTTAAAAAAATATATAAGTAGAGAGCATAACATTATTATTAATTTTTCAATCAATATAACAAAGCAGAGTAATGCATTGAGCAGAACTTTTCAAGAAATTTTGACTCATTATGAATTTGACACGACTACTTAATTATCACTAAACAGGATTACAATGGCTTGCGGCACTACCACACAACAAATACTAGACGGTTTTTATTCAATATCCATTTTTAGGTGATAATAAATGCACACTCTAAAGTGAAAATTAATTAATATGGATGACCGAAAAAAGCGTCAACAAAGTACAAGTTTAGACCTTAAACCAAGAACAAAAACTACTTTTATCAAGAAACAACCCCTAACAAATAACTTTAAACAATATTAAGATAGCAGTTCAACGTGAGCAGAAGGGTAGAAAGGTGCTGAAAACTTTTCTTTCTACATAAAAAATACAGTCTTCCTATTTCTGAGAGAGCTATTGAGCAATAAGTCCGCCGCGCTGCTCCAGGGTGTTTTTAGGATAAAGGTGACAAACGAACACACAGTCCATCTGATGGTAAGTCCTATCCTGTTGGTAAGTACTATCCTGATGGTAAGTACTATCCTGATGGTAAGTCATGTCCTGGTAGTAAATCTTCGATTAGAATTGTATCAGCAGACTCCACATTTCACGGAGCATATGGTATTAAATCAGCACTTAAAACTGCAAATTAAGAATTTGATTCGTGTTGGGTGGCGATCAGACCACTTAGCTACCCTTTAAATTGAAATATTAAAGTGGTTTCATAATAATGAGTCCTTTTTATATTTATATTAGATATATTATATTAGAGCAATTCACTGAAATGAGAACAGTCACCACCTTACTTTTTTATAACACAAATAATTAGGGGCTGAAGAATGAGCACACATTTCATCCGGTGGGAAATGTGTGTTAGGTGCAAACCAACCCCGATGGCTACGAGTAAAGGGTGGACGTAAATATTGCGATCGTCCAGCGCCGATTCAGATTTAGCAAAGGAACATGAATGGGGAGAGTATAAGTGTACAAATTTTGTGCATTTCAAAACCTTAGAGAAAACATCAGCTCATCAAATGCGCTTTTTATACTGTATGTGATGTCGATTTTTTTAAATTTGTTAAACATTATACTAACATGTCTAAGCGCCTTCATAATGTTGACTTCATTCGCAATTTTTTGTGGGTCATTCAGATGGTTGATTTGTCCATTTGGAAACCTACTTTTCTTAATTATTTTCATGGCATACTTTGTGCATTTTGTCTGAAAAATTAACATGAAAATTATAATCCATAATAAATAAATAAAAACACTACATACTAGCTAAACTCGACCGCGACTTCGTTCACGTGGACAAACGCCGATTCCAAAAATTCTTTTACCACTAAAAAGCTATTCTATCACTGAGCGAGTCTGAAGCTAACCTAAGTAAAACGTTTAGGGAACACTCATTGTACATACTACTGCACATTCCACAGAGTGGAATTCTTTCAGTCATGAATGCCCCTATCGTCGATTGGATCATTGCTTGCCTTCAGGTGAGCTAAGTGGTCAAATGCGAGGGGACAATAATCAAAGAAATTATGATACATACTTAGTATGGATTATAAAATCTTTACCTCAAAGTTTGCCTGTGAAAAATATCGATTTTCGGAAGATCTCACTCGACACAAACCAACATAATATAATTGCCCATGAGAAGAGCACTCTTTTCTCACGTCTATTTCCACCAACGAGAAAGTTTGTACTTTAACAGGGAACAAAGCAGCTTTAAAGGTATAGCTAGGTCTGTCGGTATCATTGGAATATGTGGAATGTATGCAAGCTGTCTGGCTTCAGACTCAGTGAAGATGGTTGCAATTATCACTTTATCTTTTTGTTGAAATTCTTGTGCCATTTTTTTTCATTCATTTGCCATTGCACATACTGGGTGGGCTTGAATTTTCCAACATTTTAATCAGGGTAGCAACTTTTGAGATGTGTGATGGCAGACCTGCCATATTGTAATTCAAAATACTTGTGGAAAGTGACAGTATCCACTTCGTTTAAGGTACATATATATAATGCATACTTGTATATTAAACCTATATAACATATATAGATTAGTATTAGAATTCTTATAATGGTGGTAGCTTCTAAACAAAAAGTGTGTGCTCAATATGATTTAAAGCGGAATTTACATCTCCACAAACAACGTTGATTATGAAATTATCTATCTGGATAAGGGTTAATAGCATGATGCAAATGTAATTATCTTTAGTTTCTACAAGTGTATTAATAAAATTTTAGAACACAAAAGCTGTTATTTTCACCTAATTATGTTAGTGGGACATAATATTTTCCCTCGCAGACTTTTTTGTAAATATTAATAAGGTCTCTAAATGTCATAATTTTCTCAGTGCATGTCAAGTAATAAATTTTATAGCCAAGTTTGTAATACCTTTACTTACAATATTGATATTTCTTTAAGGATTCCTATTTAAAAAATAAATAAAGCCTATGTACTCACTGGTAATGTAGCATTTTATAAGTGTAAGATTTTTTTATCTATTTATTATTTTAGAGTTTATCTATTACAAACAAAATGTTCTCTTCATAATATTAGTACAGATTTACCTTATCATACACTAATTTTACAACACCACAACCACCTTGCCCTAAAATCTTAGATATATAATATTTTTTTGAGATTTCTTTGGGAACTTTGTCTTGCTCACTCTTTAACAAATCCTTGTATATAAGAACTGAAACATACAAGAATTATAAAAAATTAATTCATGAAGGCTTTTTTTTTAGAAATTAATTGTACTAACACCATTAATATTACTAATATTCTTGTTAACACCACGCCAAGTAAGTTTAAAACGTTTGTGTTAAGAGCGGTTCACAACAATAGCTGAATGGTGGAATCAAATTCACAACTATCAGAGTTTGCAGTCTGCATCCGGCATTAGGCTAGTGTCGCATCATACAATATTTATTATTTTTTATTGTACACCTTAATAAAAGAATTACAAAGGGGGGACACTAGTTTTTTGAATCAAAATAAATACTGAAAACTGACTAATAAACAATTAGTCTGGTTATGTGGCTTTTTAGTTTTAAATGCATACAAAGTAGTTAATTGAATATTTAATAACTGCCTTGAATGTTATAAATTTCAACTATAAACAAAAATTGTTTAACTTGTATACGCTAGAACATATAGATTGTACATGGAATTTACAGGCACAGCTGTGTGTGACCTGTGCAGCTTCACTATGAGAGAGGCAGTGGAGTTCAGCAGTGGACTTTCATAGGCTGCAACGGAAGGAAAATGATTTTTTTTTTCTCAAACACTACAAATGAAGAACATTAAAAAAAAAAGATAATTATGCACCATACCAAACAATTATTTAATTCATATTACATAAAACTCAAGTTACTATACAATGCATTGGGTACATTTCTATCAAACTATTTGGTCCATACACCAATAAAGCAGCCAATCTGCTTATTTTTTATATAAACTTAATAAACATACTGATTTCATACTGGAAATAAATTTTGAACACAATAAAACATTGATTATGTATGGGAATAGTGTCCATCAACCAATTAGTGATAAAACTATCATAAACCAAAATAAACCAATTCTTAGAATTAAGCAGTTCCAATTATTACCTTCTTCAGACAAACTTATGAACAACTGTATGTCTTTGTAATATCAGTGTTCCTAGATAGTTTAAAAGATTAGATGTTGCAGCTTAAAAATTTAACTTGCCCATTTATTGGACTTACATCCCTTTAATTAAACTATAGAATAATATAATACACAATAGAATGGCTGTCAACTTTATTTTATACATGGATTGGCATCCCCAAACCCGATTCGCTGTGTTGACAGACTGAGTAAATTTACAACTTTTAGACTTTTGATTAATGTTCAAGATCATCATCATCATCATCATTACAGCCCTTCACAAGTCCACTGCTGAACATAGCCCTCTCCCAAGTAATGCCACAAAGCACGGTCCTGAGCCACCTGCATCCATCGACTTCCTGCATGTCTTACCAGGTCGTCACTCCATCTAGTGGGGGGTCGCCCTACACTACGCTTACCGGTACGAGGTTGCCACTCGAGAACCTTTCTTCCTCATCGGTTATCGGTTCTTCGAGCTATACGGCCGGCCCATTGCCACTTCAGCTTACTAATCCGTTGGGATATGTCGGTCACTCTGGTTTTACTGCGGATATCCTCATTTCTGAGTCTATCACGCAGTGAAACTCCGAGCATAGCCCTCTCCATAGCTCGCTGAGCGACCTTGAGCGTCCTCATACGGCCAGCAGTGAAGGACCACGTCTCAGATCCGTAAGTCATCACTGGCAACACGCACTGGTTATAAACTTTAGTTTTCAGAGATTGAGGTATACCTGACGGGAAGATGTGTCGGTAATTTCCCGAACGCTGCCCAGCCGAGTTGAATCCGTCGATTGACCTCTCGGTCGAAGTTGGACTTACCTAGTCGGACTATTTGTCCCAGGTAAACATACTCGTCAACAACTTCGAGCATAGTGCTCCCAATAACTACCGGCATAGGTGTGACATGGACATTAAACATCTTTGTTTTGTCCATGTTCATCTTAAGACCTATCCGTTGGGAGACACCATTGAGGTCATTGAGCATAGTGCTAAGGTCCTCCAGCGATTCTGCCATAAGGACTATATCGTCGGCAAATCGAAGGTGAGTGATGTACTCGCCATTGATGTTAATACCGTATCCTTTCCAGTCCAGTAGCTTGAAAACGTCTTCCAACGCAGCGGTGAAGAGTTTCGGGGATATAACAACACCCTGTCTTACACCTCTCTGCAGTTGGATAGGTTTCGAACTCCGGTTCTGTACTCGGATAGCCATCGTAGCCCTACTGTACAAACACTTCTGCACTTCGATATACCGACAGTCAACTTGGCACCGCTGAAGGGACCGTAGCACCGCCCAAATTTCGACGGAATCAAAGGCTTTCTCATAGCCCACATATGCCAGGCAAAGTGGCAGATTGTACTCTTCGGTCTTCTGTACAATCTGCCGCAGGGTATGTATGTGGTCTATGGTACTGAAGCCTTTTCGGAAACCGGCTTGTTCGGGAGGCTGGAAGTCGTCGAATCTGCGATTCGTAATGACTCTCGAAAACAGCACGTAGACGCGGCTCAGAAGGGAAATCGGTCTATAGTTCTTCAAGAGAGCGTTGTCGCCTTTCTTAAAGAACAAGACCACCGCGCTTCTGCTCCACGCCTCCGGAGTAGTGCCACCATGGAGGACGGAATTGAAGAGCTTCTGAAGGACTTCAAGTACCGGTGTTTCACCAGCTTTCAGAAGCTCCGCTGTAATTCCATCCTCGCCCGGGGCCTTGCCGTTTTTAAGGTGGTGGAGAGCCATTCTAATCTCGCTCAGACTGACGTTCGGGATATCATCGAAATAATGTCGGATAAGACTTGCTCTTGGATCGTTACTCACACTTGCGTGTGGCTCCAACGATAATGTGTATAGCTGCCCATAGAACCTCTCAATCTCACTCAGAATCTCAGATGTCCCGAAAACGATGTTGCCACACTCAGTCTTCAGCTTTGAAAGTTGGCTCTTTCTGGCAGACAGATCTCTGGCAAAGACTTTGGAGCCCTGGTTCCGCTCGATCGCTTCTTTAATACGAGCAGTATTAAAGTTGCGTAAGTCTCGCCGCATGCATTTGGAGATCTGTCTGTTCAGTTGCCTGTATGCTGTCAAATCTGTTGACGATTGCAGCCTCATCTCCCGTCTAACAGCCACGAGATTAAGAGTGTGATCGGAGAGTTTTTGTGTTCTTCTGCGGCGGGTCTTGCGGAACTTAGCTCCGACCGCATGGACAGTTTCCACAAGCTTGTCATTCATATCGTCCACTGCATTGCAATCCTCTAGGCACTGAAAGCGGTTTTGTAACTCGAGCTTCGGGATTCTGGATCAGAGCACGAGGGGGACGGAGCGTAGACTTCATCAGACGAGACCTCTCCAACCTAACGTTTAGGTTCAGTGTGCCTCTAACCATTCGGTGATCGCTGCCAGTTTTCACCCTTACGATCACTGAGACATCACTGAACAGTTGGCGTTTGGTCGTCATAATGAAGTCAATCTCATTTTTTGTCGAACCGTCGGGGCTCGACCAGGTCCACTTCCTGTGGGGCCGCTTCTGGAAGAAAGAGTTCATCATAAAGAGTCCCTCTTTCTCCATAAAGTCGGCCAGCTGCTGGCCCCTTCGGTTCCGTTGACCTACTCCAAATTTCCCTACCTTCAGCTCACCGCTTTCTCTTGTGCCTAGTTTTGCGTTGAAGTCTCCCATCAACACCGTGTGGTGGGTTTTGGAGGAATGCCATGGCTCTGGAAATATCCTCATACATTTCCTCCACCTCCTCATCGGGATGTGCCGAGGTTGGTGCGTAAACCTGTATGACCTTCAGCGAATACCGTTTGGTGATTCTGAGTATCAGGTACGCGACCCTCGTCGACACACTCCCAATCTTTACAACGTTGTTGACGAGAGACTTGTGGACGATAAATCCGACACCTCCTTGGGACAGATGGTCGCCCTCCCGGTGGTAGAACAAGTTGCCGGACTCGAGGATTGCCGTGTCCTCCCCCACTCTTCGGACCTCGGATAATCCAATAATATGCCAGCGCAATTTGTCTACCTCTTCTTCCAGCTCCAGTATCTTCTCGTCAGTCCTCAGGGTGCGTGCGTTATATGTTGCCAGGTCGAGTCTTCGCAGGTGGCAACCGAACCTCCACCGGAGATTCTTAGCACCCCCTGCCCCGCCGTTACCATGGTCGCCACCCTAGCCAGGAATAGCGGGGCCGCCGGGGACTGGTGGCCGTTTTTTTGCGTCATTATTCATGGGGGATATTTGCCATAGTTGCCACGCTTGGCGAGCGGGTTGGCAACCGCAGTTTTTTATTTTATCACAGTTGTTATCAGGAAGATGCTGCTGCCCATCTCCTGCCTGTCTCCCTCAAGATCATGATCATGATTAATTATTCAAGATCATGATTAAATTTTAATACATATGTATTTATTTGTAAATTGGGTGCAATTTGGCATTTTCTAAATAATTTGCATGCGAAATTTGGAAACGATTGTAACATCAAAACACATCTCCTGTTGACATTTATACGTGTGAAGTGACATTTTAGTGGCTACGCGGTTTCCGCCCACTCCCCCGTTCTATTATATATGTATTATAGTATTCTATGAATTAAACACAAGACATGAAGAATATAACATGCCTCAAGAATATGCAATACTACTTGAACATTGCCTCACATCTGGCTATCTATTGTGGAAGGATGAGTTCTACAAGCAAGTAGATGGTGTGGCGAGGGGCTCACCTGTGTCTCCCATAGTCGCAGACATATTCATGGAGGACTTTGAGGAGAAAGCCCTTCTTACTGCTCCTGTAAATCCAAGGTTCTACAAGCGGTACGTAGACGACACTTTCACAATTTTACCATCTGACAAATTAACTGCATTTTTAGACCACCTTAACTCCATAAACTCTAAAATACAATTCACAATGGAGTTAGAGGCAAATAATTCTTTAGCTTTCCTAGATGTTTTAGTCATCCGAAATCCTGATAACACTATTGGTCACACTGTGTATAGGAAAAAGACCCATACCAACCGATATTTAAATGGTGAATCTCACCATCATCCTTCACAGTTAGCTACCGTGGGTAAATCTTTGTTTCAGAGAGCATGAGGGATCTGTGACAGAAAACATCTGGCCGCGGAGCTTCAGCACGTCAAGCAAGTATTGCAAGACAACAAGCTTCGGGTCCCGCGCCTAAGTCACAGTGAACGAGTGAAGCCGGCCACAGTCGAGCGCGCGCCTGCTCTACTACCATATGTTAGAGGAGTCACGGACAAGATTGGCTACATCTTGAAGCGAGCGTCCATTAAGACATACTACAAGCCGCTGAAGATTAGTCAATTTTTACCATCCATCAAATGTAATATTCCTCTACAAGATGCAGGTGTGTACAAGCTAGATTGTGAATGTGGTCTCTCTTACATAGGTCAAACAAAGAGATCTATAAAAACCCGCGTGAAGGAACATATAGCTGATGTGAAGCACCGACGCTCCGGGAAGTCTGTAGTCTGCGAACATGTTCAAGATCGTCCCCACCATTACATTAGATTTGATAAACCACAAATTCTCGCAAAAGAACACCGATTCCTACCAAGGATGATACGCGAGGCTATTGAAATTAAAAAACATCCAAATTTCAATAGAGAAGATGGTTGGGTGCTACCATCTGCTTGGGATCCTATAATTAACAAAATTAAACCCAAATCCAAGCATACCACTGCAAGACTTCATGATACTATAAGCTCGTTTTGCGTAAATTGGACCAAAAATTAATATTAAAAAACTGAAGGTAGCCGGACTAACTATGACATTGGGACGTCAAACATCTCAGTCCCCTCCGTGACCATGGGCGCTGTAAAGCACCCGAAACGTCGGGATAATAATAAAAATAAATTAAAGTAATTAAACACGATAAAATCCGTAAATAATAGTTTTATTCAATGTGTAGTGTTCGCGTAAATTTAAGAAATCATTAAGACATGAAATGTTGAAAAATAGTTTTGTTTGATGGAATTTTTATTATTGAATATATTATAGTGAATAAAATACTTACTTTCTACTTTAGGATGAGTCACACCTATTTTATCATTATCATCTAGTACTCGGCTTTGTCCCTTGCCAATTTTTTCACCATTAACATATGTGCCATTAGATGATAAGTCCGTAATTATCGCTGGGCTTAAAGGTTCTCTGAAAGAAAAGCTCTTATAATTTAGAATTTACATGAACTTAAAATTTTATTTAAATTTATTTTATAAATGAGAGGTAACCTCTATAAATAAAAGCAATTGCTGTACGTTAGTCTTGCTAAAACTCGAATATAGCTCGACTGAATGCTAGTATGATATAAATTGAGGATTTATGTTTTTTTGTTTAGTTTAATATAAATGTTTATGCTTGTGTACTGTAATTTCTTCACTTCTCTTAAGATAATAATTGGATTGATATCTACCCAAAACAGTTGGCAAGCCTACATCTTCCTAACATATCCTTATTTAGATTTTTTTTTGCAGTGCAAATAGATAAAATACCTAGAGCTCTTTAGGCATGGTATCTCAATATAAAAAATAAGCTAAAATCAAAGATGTTAAAAATTAATTAAGATCCACATAATAAAATAAAATGTGTCTTACGTAGTTTGAAGAGCATCTCCTGCCCTCCTTACTAATCGCAGCACCACTACAGTAAGAAAAATAAACCATCATTGATGAAACTCTGTTCCTATCAGCCAGCCAGAGTATGGGTCCTTTAACAAACATTTATTTAGTATATGTGTGCATGCATGCATGGGGGAGGAAAAAATGGCGGCTCATGTGTTGCTGACATGTCTGCACGTCGCAGCATACAGGGCTAAATATCTCAGCACGCCAAAAATTGCTTGCAACATCACAGAACTGTTGAACTTCTTCGGGGAGATTTCACGGCTCGAATAATCACATTATTCCTGCCCACACACAAAATACGCACTTAGACGTGGAGTTGTGGAAAACAGCCCATCGTAAACTAAAGTACCGTTGATAATACGACATGTGTTTAACTTCTAAGCAGATGAAGTATAATCAAACAGATGAATATACTCTGTGGTGGCTGACCATTAAGTTTAGCTTAGCTCTAGTTGTCCAGTGCTCTTCAAGTAGGTAAGACACATCATTTTATTTTATTAAATGGATTTTAACTAATTAATTTCTAACATCTTTAATAGAATGGATATTCACAAAGTAATGGTTTCTGATTCTATTAATTAAGTTAAACTCATTCAAAAGCACTAGATATTAATATTGACATGTATGTAGTAGCAGTGTAAGAGGAAAGGAAGTCACAAATGCAGTCTTCCTGATAACAGCTCAAAATGATAAGAAACTGTGCTTGCCAACCTGCCTGGCGAGAATGGCAACTATGATATAATCCCTGCTACAAGGTATAATTCCTATATATGGTAGTTAATCCTTATATGTAGTAGAGCCAAGCTGTACCTACATTATGGCTGCACCACATATGGGTAAGCTTGACCATGCAAGGATCACACTCTCACACAATACTAGCTTTTTTTAAATAGATGGGGCAAACTAGTATGCGACTCACATGATAGTGACTAATAGCAGCTTAACGCAACTATTTTGAATGGTCAGCGTTCAAGTGAAACGAGGCATTCCATCTTATTTCTCAGGAGTCATAACACATCTGCATTGTAATTCCTAACTGAGGATAAATGTAGATGTCTATGGGCCACAGCATCCACTTGCCATCAGATGGACTGTATACTCATTTGTCTTCCTTATACTGTAAAAAAATCTATGAGGGAGTCTTCGTTCAGCAGTGGATATGGCTGTAATTAAAGAATCAAGTAATGAATATTTGACAAGCCTTTCTATTTTGTTTGATGGTACAGAATTCCTGTAAATTAATAATACTCACAATAAATTTCTCTTAAGAAGGAAGTGTTGTTTACTAACACTTTTGATAATATCATCATTGAAAATATCTTTTTTTATGACTAATGTGCAGTCTATTGCTCTTCCGAGAGTAAATTCAGGTTGTATGAGATCTGTAAAAAGTTAATTTTTAAGGTATAAAAACCGAAGGTAGTTAGCCAGTGTAGAATATTTATTTATGGTAGTTAGTTAGCCTTGTATAAAATATATATGAGTTTATAATATGAACTTACCAATATATTCTTTGCCAGTATTTTTCCAACAATTTTTTTCGTTCAAGGATACTTTTCTTGGATAAAATCGACCCCAAATATTAGGTATAAATAACGGAGTGTTTGGTTGACTCCAGTCCACTTGTGATTTTTGAGTTTGTGTTTGAGTATTTTCAATGTCTTGAAGTAATTCGTCTCCCATTTTTTATTATTTCTAATTACCAAAGATTTATATTACTAGCCACTGTATTTAACATTTAAAACGCAGATGTAGAGATTATCAAAAACTGAACTGAACTGATTATCAGAAACTGAATGTTTAATGTTTTGTTTTGTTTAGAGCGGCAAAACAAATTCCAAGTTCAATGCTTTGTGTTTGGCTTTGGTTTGGCCTTGGTTTAAAAAAGTACATGTGGTTTAAAAAATGTTAAAACAGTTAAAATCAAACTCAGTGCTGCCATCATAAAAATCTGAGTTACGGTATGTCACAGTAGTAATTAGTAAAATATGGCAAACCAGTTCCATATTTTATTAAGGAAAACAAGTAGTAAAATTTTTGTACAACCGACTTCAATATAAATAAAATGAGAACATCATCTATGTATTCGAAGTCATTTAAATGCACATTATTTAGGATTACTCAAAAACTACTACTCAGATCCTGACCAAATTTATATGGGATCACACGAGAAGCACCAGCTTTGAAATAAAAAAAGAATCATCAAAATCTAGAAAACATACAGTCAAATTTAGCACCTCCTCCTTTTTGAAGTCGGTTGAAAATACAAAATTGCCGTATATTTAATTATTAATTTAAAAAATGTCTATTTCTCATTTGTTTATTCTCCGTAAAAGTTCTTATCGTTTCTATAACTTCAGATTCATGTTTATCTAGTGAATATTTGTCCTTGCTTCTTATTTTTTCTACAAACAACTTACTCTAAATATTTTATTTGCATATTTTTATTTTTCATTAATTTGTGCCTTTTAGTTGAATTGTAAATGTGAAGTGTAATAAAAAGTTTCCTTTTTTTATATTTAATGTAAATCACTTACACGTCATAAGCAATTTTACACACGTTTTAATATTTCACTATCAATCAGAGCTATCAATACAAACAATATTTATTTCGAAATTAAAATATTCGCGAAATTTTGATCAAGAAATTCAACATTACCACACTAAAATAAAATAAACTAAAATAAAATCGACAGATTCATAGGTCACCCATCTACACTATTATTTTGACTTTTAGAATTCGCTAAAAATACTTTACGTTTAGCGCGTTTACGTTTTTCTGTATATATTAATTTACTCTTTGGTTTAGCGTTTACACTCAATGTTATCATCCCAGGAAATGAAATAGGAGATGGGCAACAGCATCATCCTGATAACAAGTCAATAATAAAAAGACAATCTGTCAGTCGTAGGCCTGCACAAACTTGTAAACATATTTTTGTATGTATATAATGTATCTGAGCGTGACTGTCACGCGAGTTCAGTGCTTTTTCCCCATCCTAAGTGTTCAACGTGCCTGAAGAAGTTTTCACTTCAATAATAAAAACTGGGATTGCCAACCCGTATGCGAAACGCGAGCCCTTTTTCTCTTATTATATATTATATGATATTATTTCCCGTTTTCTACTAAGAGAACTCCGTTAACGAAAACAGGGCTCGAGAAAAGTTAAGAACATTAAATCGTCCTTATTCCACTTGCATCAGGTTTACATTATTAATTTATTATTTATTATCGCTACCCACTTGGGAAAGGCTCACAATATATATATATATATATATATATATATATATATATATATATATATATATATATAATAACCCGATACAAGGCTTGTTATTCGTATCGTCTTCTCCGTCGTAGTCTTCTAGGCACTGAAAACGATTTTGTAACTCGAGCTGAAAGTTTTCGGGGCTTTGGATTAGAGCACGAGGGGGACGGAACGTTGACTTCATTAGACGTGACCTCTAGAACTAAGCATTTAGGTTCAATATGCCTCTCACCATTCCGTGATCGCTGCTGGTTTTCACCCTCGCAATCACAGACATCATTAAACAATAGCCGTCCAGTAGTCATAATGAAGTCAATCTCATCTTTTGTCGAATCGTCGGTGCTCCACCAGGTTCACTTTCTGTGGGGCCTCTTTTTGAAGAAAAAGTTCATCATAAAGACTCCCTGTTTCTCCATGAAATTGCTCAGCTGCTGGTCCGTTGGGTCCTGTTGTCCTATCTTGAGTTTCCATTCTGTCATCTCATCGTTCTCTCTTGTGGCTAGTTTTGCGTTGAAGTCTAATCACCGTATAACAGGATACGGTGTTAAAGAGGGTTTTGGAGGAACTCATGGCTCTTGAGATATCTTTATACATTTCCTCCATCTCCTCATCGGTATGTGCCGATGTTGGTGCGTAAACTTGTATGTTGCCGGATTCGAGGATTACTGTGTCCTCCAACTCTCATCGGACCTCAGATAATCTTATAATATCCCATAGCACTTGTTAGTCTCTTCTTCCAGCTTTAAGATCTTCTCATCAGTCCTCAGAGAGCGTTTGTTGTATGTTGTTAAATAGAGTCGTCTTAGGTGGCAAACGAACCTCCACCGGCGATTCTTGGCACCCCTTGCCCCGCTGTTACCATGGTCGCCACCTATAATGCGTATTTTATTGATTTCAACTACATTGATGATGTTCTCATTTTATTAATAATGAAGTTGTTTGTACAATTTTTTTTATTTTACTACTTGTTATTTTGCTGTTATCAGAAAGATGCTGCTGCTCATCTCCTTAGTTTAGCAAAATAATCAAAAATATAAAGTAAGAACATAAACTTAACGTAGGTGATTATTTGCAATTTGGTCAATATTGGCAATTGACACGCGCTAGTACCCGTTGCTAGGTTTGGGTATCAATATATCGAAATATCGATATTTTTAATTGCAATATTGAACTCCTACCAATTACAAAAGGATTCATGTGCTGTTGGTGTTTTTTTGTTGTCCTACTACATCAAGCAAAACATGACGATATATCGATATTTCTTAAGCGAAAATTATCGATTTTGTTTAAAACTATCGATACGATAAATATCGATATATTTTTTTCACTTGCTCATCCCGTTGCCGTTGCCTGTTTGACGCAGTGGAGGCCCTCATATGTGGAGTGTAAGGAGTACAAACTGTGTATTAAAAAGTGTCCATAGAAAACCGTTAAATAATGGTGACGCCACTATAATTACGGGGTAAATTTTAAAGAACGCGCCGAAAAATAGTAGTAGGATAGACGACTTTTTCGAGCTTATATTTACTAAATAAAATTATGTTAGATTTTAGAGATACCGAGCAGTTTAGCAGCACACTTAAACCGTCGACAACTGCTAAGTTCATTTCATCCCAGTAGCTACTCCAGCGCTGTTGTGGAGAGTTTTTGAACTGTTATTTACTGCTTACAGATGACCACTTTTTCAACTACTCTACTATGGGAGTTGGTACTCCTTACTTCTACACTCCATACCCTCATACTTACCACTATGGAGTGTAGAGGTAAGGAGTACAGACTGTATAAAAAAGTGTCCGTAGGAAAGCGCTAAATAAGGGTGGCGCCACTGTAGCTACAGTCTAAATTTTAAAGAACTTTTAAAAAAAATTATTGTACAGACTTTCAATATAATTCTTTTTACAATAAGTTTTTATTGCTTTCAAAATTTTTATTTTCTAAATCTCTTTCATTGTATTTCACGGCGATTTATCATACCCTGTAGCTACTCGAGCGCTGTTGTGGAGAGTTTTTGAACTGTTATTAACCGCTTACAGATGGACACATTTTCAACTATTCTCCTATGGGAGATTGTCCTCCTTACCTCTATACTCCATGCTCACCACACTTCGCAGTCAAATGCACGTAAAACTGATGTCCATTAATTGTCTGAAAAGACCAGACTCTAAATTTTAAAATGGAAATACACAATTTTACAGATACATTTTGTCGTTTGAAAGAATATCCCTCGTAACCATTGGCAGGGCGCAACGTGTACAGGTGATATGATAACATTTGCATAAGCATGTGTCATGTGTACATCCCTCACAAACCCTATTTCAATACTCATTGCACTCCTTACATAACATATTGAATGTTATACTCGTGTTATCCTCATTTCCTGCGCAATTTCAAACATAGCTGAGCCTGAATATTTTTGGCTTATTAAAATCATTTGTAGGATAGGCTATACGTTACACGTGACTAGAATTAATCCCGTATGGTAAAAGGATAGACACGTGACTGCACTGATTCCTCGTCTTAATTAAAAGTTATAGGTCAATCATAACGAATTCCAATTTTAAATGAAAATACAATTTAAAAATATCTAAACCGAATTTTTTTTAATTCGCGATTTACCTATATCAATATTTCATTCATTAAAAGCAATCAAAAGTCTAAACATAGACCTAAAGATAAAAAAAAAACAGATAAAAAAATAGACCTCCTGCATAGATTACTCTCTAGAGTGATATTTGTTATATTTGTAACGCTTGGCATACGGGTTGGCAATCCCAGTTTTTATTATTGAAGTGAAAATTTCTTTAAGCACGTTGGACACTTTTACAACGGAGAAAAAGCACTGAACTCGCGTGACAGTCACACTCAGATACATTATATACATACAAAAATATGTTTACAAATTTGCGCAGGCCTACGATTGACAGATTGTCTTTTTATTATTGACTTGTTATCAGGATGATGCTGTTGCCAATCTCCTATTTGGTTTCCTGGGATGATAACATTGAATGTAAACGCTAAACGTAAAGTATTTTTAGCAAATTTCTAAAAGTCAAAATAATAGTGTAGATGGTTGACCCATGCATCTGTCGATTTTATTTTAGTGTGTTTAAAAAATTTATTCTGCCGAGAAAATATTTTTATATAATAATATTAAATATTAAATCGTTTGTTTGCTTGTATGTAATATGATATTGAAGATGAGAAGAAAACATAGATAAGTATAAAATTCATATTTTTTATTGTCCTAATGATGCAGTCATCCAAAAAGTCCACAAATACTAGAGGTATTCTCTTAACTGTGCAGCATTTATTATTAGTGCACTCAAGTTAACACTCATAATAGCTAGAAAACTTCTTTGAAAGAAAATACGTAATATTTGCCTTACAATACAGTACAGTAGGAAATACAAAAAC